CGGTATTCGCACAACTAGAAAAATGATCACCGACAAATACTTCTGGCCGGGAATGAACAAGGACATTTCAACATGGACGCGATGCTGTATTTCATGTCAACGGGCTAAGATACATAGACACACGAAAACACCGTTAATACAGTTTCCGGAATCAAGAAGATTCGAACACATTCATGTGGACATCGTTGGACCACTAACTCCATCAGAAGGATATCGATACCTTGTTACAATCATCGATCGATGCTCAAGATGGCCAGAAGCAGTACCAGTCAGTGATATTAGCGCAGAGACCGTCGCCCGAGTAATATACGACAACTGGATAACTCGTTTTGGTTGCCCACTACGCATAACAACGGACCAAGGACGACAGTTCGAGTCAACATTATTTCTTAAGCTCATGAATAAACTTGGTATATCAAGAATACGGACCACTGCTTACCACCCGCAATCAAACGGACTCGTAGAACGATTTCACCGTACCCTCAAGACAGCATTAATCGCCAGAGTGAATAAACAACAATGGGTTCAAGAATTATCAACTGTTTTACTCGGCATACGCACGGTGATTCATAAAGAAACAAACTATAGTCCCGCTACGATGGTATATGGTACCTCATTAAGATTACCTGCCGATATTTTCACACCTACAAAGATAAACAACGAAGACCCGTTATTATTGCAACATCTATCGGAATCAATGGCATCGCTTAATGACACGTGCGCGCACGCACCGATAAGACACCTGCGCTCGACTCACGTGCCGAGACAGCTGTTTACTTGCACTCATGTATTTATGAGGGTGGATTGCACGAGAAAATCATTAACACCACCGTACGAGGGCCCGTATGAAGTTATAGAACGGCACGACAAATTCTTCAAGATACGTTTGCCAAATCGTGAAGCTGTGGTGTCATTGGATCGATTAACCTTTTCGCCGCCCAGCTATACTAAACACGATGTGTCGCCGTACGCCAACGTATAAATGTATAATAAATGTATAGTACGAAAGTAGGGATGGCGGTAACATCATGTCGATAATGAAAAAAAATATGTGTAAATTTAAATTGGTACTCAAATTTACAATTAAAAATACAAACTGTTAAGTTATAATGGTAATTTGTTTTATTTTATGAACATTTATACTAAGAAAAATGGGTATCCGTTATCAGAGATGAAGATACATGCATAGAGTTGCTAGAGATAATAATAATAATTCGTAACATTAGCCACTTCACTATTCATTTCATAACGTAGTCTGTTTACTTCATATCAAGTCATTGGCGTTCAAAGCACGATACATTTCGTAAGGAATAGTTGTCTATGCTTTTCTTTCTTTCTATCGAGTTTGGTTTGCTTTTGGTTTTAGTTTACATTTAAAATCTAACGTCAGGTCACGATCAGGAACATTGTTTGTAGTGATTAAAAGTGGCAACATATGTGTAGTTTTGGAAATGGATGGTAAGTAACTATTTTAATACAGATGTACTAAACTTTAATAGCTTATTTTTCATTTAATGCAAATGAAAAACTGGCACGTTTGATGGATATTAGGTAGTCATAAAATACCTATTCGTTGCGGCTCTCGGTTTCGCAAACTTTTAGCTGTGTCGGCGAACTATAGACCTGAGTCGATCACAAATTTTTCGCGACCCAAACAGTTTGTAATCGAATCAAAATGACTCAATCATTTGGATATTTCATAATCATGAAAATAATTATAGGTATAGGCCGTGCGATTAATCGATTAAGTGCGATTGCGTGCGTGCACGCGTCGCCCGGAACTATGACACAATGACCTTGACGCCTAAGCGCTTACGACGACGTCACAGGTTTACTTCTATTGAAGTTGACGGCGCTAGTGTCACTCGACATCTTGCCATTACGTAGAGATGGGTCTAGCAATATCGAAAACCCTCAGTACATAATAATTAATTTTAATGAAATGATTTGATAGGTAGATGTACATTAATTTTGAAACGCATTGTAATACGTTATTTACTGACCGGAATTTCTTTTTATTCATAGAATTCAAAAAACTATTGGATGGAAAAGAAAACAAATATTATAGTAAATAAAGATTCTAATGAATGCTCCTTACGCGTCACATCACTGGCCTACTTGATATGAAGTCGTTGGCGTGCGGGATATAAAATTATTTGAAACCTTTTATGTTTTACCTTTTTAAAACAGAAAATAGTCTGTTTTGCATGAGAAAAAATAGTTCGTCGTGTCCATATTACAAAATTACAAAGAAACAAATGTTTTATGTATCGTAAATGTATTTTTTATAGTAGGTAGATACAATGAACTTCTATAGAAGTAGTGGCGTGGACGGCACGAAAATCCTGAACTTCTATAGAAGTTGTTGGCGGCGAAAAGGTTAAAACCTGCCCACATTCTACCACCGGCTACAGAAGACGTGGAAGAAACCCCTTATGTGACCCGTTCCGGTAGAACTGTTAAACCTACAAGAAATGTACGGTTTTCTTGAAGGGGGATACTGTGGGAGACATACAACTATAATCATTGACGAGCATGACCGCCGCGCGCCGCGCGCGATCCAAGACTGAGCGCGGCCGACTAACCGCACATATTTTATATGCGGCTGCATGACGTTGTAGCCGTACCTTGATGACGACAGACGTGCGCCTGCGCCTGCGACCCTCAGAACACTGAGCGGCCGGTCGCCGCGTTAGTTTTTATATGAACGCAAGAACGTTTCTGATTGGCCGAGCGCATTCTTCGACATTTATTTTACCAATCAGATATACGTAGCTTTAAGTAAATTTTGTATAAATATGACCGTCTAAATAAATTCGAAATCATTCTGGTAATTCGCATAATTGGTGTTTTACTAAATACCCCAAGAGAACCCATATTATAAATGCTAAAATATATGAGTTTGTGTGTATTATGTTTGTTACTTAGTCACATCACAACGGCTGAATGGACCGGGATGAATTGTATAATATAATATTACTAGCTTTTACCCGCGGCTTCGCTCGCGTCACAAAAGGATAAAAAGTAGCCTTTGTGACATATACCAATACATACAGCGCCCTCTATACCAATACTTTTGTTTTCCCTCGGGAATATCAAATTTTTTCGGGTTAAAAAGTACCCTATTATTTATTCATATTCATATTCATATTCATTTATTTGCGTACCATAAAGTTAATAAGATGTTACAATAGGCTTAAAGCTAAGTACATTTATGGACCCTGTAAGGGCACAGCAATATTTTTTAAGATTTACAATAGAAGAATTACAATGATGCCTAAATCAAATTTGAACAATCATAATTAAACTAAAATAATCAAAATCAAATTAAAATAATTAAAATCAAATCACAATAACGAAAATCAAATTAAAATAATCAATAGGTATGATAAGTCAAATTCAAAGGAAAGTCAATAAACATTAAAACAAAATTCATCCATAACAAACAATATCTCATCCAATGATATTATAAATAATAAAAAAGAGGTAGATATCGCACTGGCACGCAATTTAATCCAGACTACTAACTTTACGTCTGCAAAAATTCAATGCAATCGGTTTAGTAGTTACGGCGTGAAGTCGGAACAAACAAACAAACAAACTCACTTTTCGATTTATAATATTAGTAAGGATATAATAAACTGATTATTATTAGTGTCAGAAAACGTTGTAAATCGTTTCTGTTTGCGATTTTGTCTAAGATAGATTATGTACACATTTCTTACTTAATGTTTTAGCTAATTTTAAACAATGTTTTATTGTTAAAAGGCTTTGTCTCTCTTGCCATGATTATAATCGGGTAACTGTAGGCTACGTGAAAATCTTGCAGGATGTATTTAAGCCACATTGTTGTATGTGCCAAAATCGTCTAAATTCATTACAGCCGAAGTTTTTTTAAAAAAAACGTCCCTCACTAGGGTTGTCTCCTGTGTTGTGGGCGCATTTACAAACATACAAGTTCACATACACATAACACCCAGACCCGAAACAACTATTTGTGAATCACACAAAGAGTTGCTCCGTGCAGGAATCGAATCCGCGACACGTTGCGCAGCAGCCGGTTGCCCAGCCACCACACCAACCGTGCAGTCAAATTTTAATAATTATTTTTGTGTTAGATAGTCTATTTATCCGAATCGAGCGGCGCGCGGCGGGTGAAACCGCGCGGGATCTAGTTGTTAATAATTTAGGTTTAGTCGTCCAATTTTAATATTTTTAAGAGAGGAAGTGTATTGCATAAATAAAAACTATTGCTGATAAATTGTGTTATAAATAAAATCACTACACAGCAGATAATGCAACGACACACGTCAGGCGCGTATCTGATGCAGTAATTGTCAGAGATGTACATACATTGTACAAAGATATAAATTTATTTTAGAATAATACATAGTTGTTTATTTTTTTATTATTTTATTTTAGATTATTTGTACCATTGTAATATAATTAGTAAATTGTTGATGCTTTGTTTACTTTTTGGACCAAATAATAAATATTGTAACGTACCTAAATACTATGTGTTGTAAGAAATACTTATTATTTTCATACATCCAATCATTGAAATATAGTTTCATATTTTGTGTTGACTGTTTTAATTTAAATTTAGACTACTATAAAGATCTTCCATTGTATGTTAATGTTTGTCTTATAATTAGTGGATGGGTGTTTTCTGTGGCCATACACAATTTTCATAAAATATTGTTAAGTGAATGTACCTAAATAGATGTAAATTAATGTTGTGTATACCTGTTTGTAGAATATATTTTTGTTGCGTAACATTGTTTTACTTAAATATTTGATTTTAAACGTGAAATAAATGCTTTTTGACAATTCCCTGTTATCCAGAAAATTGTAAGAAGCAAACTTCAAAAGCACCAAATTGATTATACTATCTCCAATGTGAATCACGTATCATCGTCATATAGGCCATTGAAACTAGTTATATGAAGGTAGTGGACTACTGGAAGATAAATAAAACCACAGCGTTTTCACAAAATTATATTTTGTGTGATAACACCTGCTACATGTTCCTTACTGTTATTGTATTTACAATATTTTATATACTACACATTAGTAACAAATAACATTCATAACCTTAGAGGAGCAGATCTTACAAATAACTTAGGGCGGGCGGGCGACAGCCGCCGCCGCGCCGCGCGGACGATCCTTACCTACTCGTGCAAGAGGACGAAACTAAACACGACAACTAAAATACTTAACATTGTAACTATAGTAACCGTAAGTGTTAATAACATTTGGCAATAAATTACTGGGATAACACGAACATAATCCTTAAGCGAAGCGGTAAAACAAAGTTATCATCGCAATTATAAAACGTTAAAACTACCTGTGTAAAAATAATATAAAATATAAAAATCCTTCACTCCATTAGGCCTGCTTACGTAAGTAACCACGCGCCGCGCACTGGGCGGCCCCGCGCTCCTCCACGACTCTAGTCAGCGCACTATCACATTGAACAAAGGAAACCGTATCTTACAAGTACTCTAACATTATCAGCTCTATATGTATACAGCCTTCTTACATTACAATATGTTACACTGAAGTCAAGCAGACAGACGGGACGTGAGAGGCACTTAGAACAGATTCAGACAAACTAGGCTCCTATGTAAAATTATAATTACACAACGGCAACTGTACAAGCGACCTACGCTGTCGCGACACGATACAAATACATCAAAACGTAAACACCATATACATATAAAATACGAGTTCCAAACAATCTTTACATCTGTAGTACAATCTGCCATCAGTAAAAACATTGCACTTATTTCAACATAACCAAAGACTTAACATTTACATTGTTTCTTTGGAAATCGAGAATATATTAATTTATAGATCAGACGCGTCACACACGCGCCACTCGTCATACAAAACGAAGCAGATTACTACCAGAGTACATACATTTATTGCACTATCATTATGCTACAGTTCAGTGACGTAGTCATTATTATTATAGACAGATTTAAATACATTTTATCTGCAATTTTGTACTTTTATTCAGTTCACCGGGTACTGCACTTTATCAACGACAAACAAAACGTGATTTACATACATATGATACAAAAACAATAACAGAGCTGCCACGAGACCGCCGCGGGCCGGGGGGTAAGGCAACAGAAGCGATGTTCACGTTCATCTCGATTAACTTTATATACAAACTAGCACTTATCGCGAGAAAGCAAACGTCTATTTGTACTATGCTATACTTAAAGACAAGAGGGTCGCATCGTCCGAGACGGCGGCGGGCGTGCTACCGGCGCATGGTGGAGTTGAGCGTCTGCATGGCCAGCGGCGGCGGCGGGTTGATGTACCCGTAGTACACGTTGCCCTGCTGGCCGCGCGGGTCGGCGGCGCCGTACTGCACGCCGCCCTGCACGTTCATCATCTGCAGGTTGTTGAACTGCTGCTGCGGCGGCACGCGGTACCCGTTGAGCCCGTAGCCGCTGATGAGGTGCGGGTTGAGGTTGGGCGACATGCGCGCGCCCGGCGCCATCTGCATGTGCTGCATCGGGCTCAGGTTGCCTGCAACGCACCCAACTACTTACTGCCGCTCTATTCACTGCCGCATGCGACTTATTATGTGAATCAAATGTCATAAGTAGCACACGAAGACGATCTTCTATTCGAGAAGACATCGTAACAGATGCTACACATAATATTGTTGCATGTTCTTAGAAGATGGTGACTACAGAGCGCACCATCTGTGGAACCATGCCACGAGAGAGTGAAACGTTAAAATAGAATACTGACTGGAGGTGTTCCGTGTGTTCCTGGGCGAGTCGAGTTGGTTGTGTGGCGGGTAGTACTTGGCGGCGGCGTGGTAGTGCGGCGCCGGGGCCGCCGGCGGCGTGCTGGACTGCTGCCCGTACTGTAGGAAACAACTAGATTCGAAATACTGAAAGACCACAAACATGTGTCATGAAAATGTCGCAGTAACACACATCATGTACAGTTCCATGGAAGGATCGGTTTGATGTTATTACTACGTATTTTCAGACTTCAAAACCTTTTTTACATGGCTTCCACAACAATTTTATGTAGTTACAAAGAAGTGTTTCATTTGGACCTCTTTGTAAGGTTCATTACCATACAGGAAAAAGATATATTTATTCTAGTTATACCAACAAATTATTGAAATTATAATTTTATAGATTTTGTAATAAAATTCGTGAAGCAATGCAGATTACTTTATGTAAAATACAGACATTCAGCTTTGGATCTCGCGGTCACCAAGTTTATCAGTGGGTTGACACTCCAAAGAGTACAGAGATATGAAGTCGCATAGAAGTAGAGTTAGAGTGCAGGTGCGCGAGTGTATCACCTGGTGCGGCGGGTGGTGCTGCGGCGCGTCGGCCATCTGCTGCAGCTTGGCCAGCGAGCAGGACGGCGGCCAGCCCCCGCCGGCGTACTGCTGCTGCTGCTGGAACGACAGGTAGCCGCCCTGGTAGCCGCCGCCCGCGCCGCCCTGCATCACCGCGCCGCCCGCCGCTGCGTCCAAAAAACTCGCTACATTTATCATAGCAAGAACGAATCGTTTAATATCACAAAATAAAATAACACATCAAATTAATTCATTTCAAAATAAAGTCAAAACAAACAATAAGATAATAATGAAAGGTTTGATAGAATGGGTGTAGGTGTGTGTAGTAGTGGTGCAGTACTGACCGTGCGGCTGGTGCGCGGGCGGCGTGGCGCGGTGTCTCGCGGGCGGGGTGGGCGCGGCGCGCAGGCCGGCGGCCGCGGCGCCGGCCGCCTGCTTGGCCGCGTCGCCGCCCGCGCCCGCGCCGCCACTGCTACTGCTGGCACCGCTGCTCCTGTCGAGTGTCAAATTAATCTTTCAATTAATCCCTATCCATTTACAATTTTTTTTTTTTATTTATCATATACATACACTCGTACAATAATCGACCCTTACCTATTCCTGTTGTTAATTTTTTGCTGCTTGGGCGGCTGATTAGGCTGGCTCATGATGGACGGGATGTGTATTGAGGAGTACTGCGGACTGGGCGCGGGGTGCATGTGCATCATGGAGCACGGTGAGGCCAGGTCCGAGCCGATACTGGTGGGCGACTCCAGCCCCAGCTGGCTCACGTCCAGCTCGCAGGCGGGGTACTGTACGGAGTGCACGGAGTTGCTGGTGGAGTCCGGAGTGTACACCCCCATCGACTGCAGAGCGGGACTGACCGCTTCGCACAACTCCTCCTTGTTACTTTCCTTCGGAGACTCTTCCTTCTTCTGCCGTGACTTCTTTTCAATCTCCTTTTCTTGTCCACAAGGCCCGTTTTGATTGAAACTCTTACAGCCGGGAGAAGTCAACACTTGCGAGCTCTGCTGCCTGTACTCCGCACAACTAGTGACTACCTCTTGCTGTTTGCTCACTTGTCTCTGCATCATTTGTTTCATCTGGTCGGCAGCGTTCTGAGACTGTGACTTCTTCGGCTCGCACTGCGTTTGACAAGCAGTCGTTGTTTTCGACTGTTTAGATGGTTTACATTCATTTTTTTGTGAACATTCCGCTTTGGAAGTCGGCGTCTTGGTCTCTTTAAAATGCGGCAAGCCCGTGGTAGCATACAGACTACTGCTCAATGCACCGTAAGCTATATTGTGGAAATCTTTTTGATCATATTTAGGAAGTAATTTTTGAGGGGACTTCTGAACTTGATCTAAATGGGGGAGGTTGAAACCTTGGTGTTTATCCAAGTAATTCTTTTCGCTAACTATATTTTTCATATTGTCTAAAAATCTGTTGTGTTCCCAAGTGCCCTGTATCCTCGTAGGATCCCAGGGCGGCCACTGGTACTGTCCGTGCGTGGTGTGGTAATTAGGTATTTGGTTCATAGCATAGTCTGCTTTAGGCACTAATTCATTATCATACTTAAACTTGGGCAGCATTTTGTTCAAGTCATTCTGATCAGCTTTCAAGTTGAGCTGAGCTGTGCAACTTTTGTCATGTTTCACTGATTGGTTTTTTGAGTCACACTTGGTATTAGATTTCTCTTTCTTAAAAAAATCTTGCTTTTTTGGTGCTTCATTGGTTTTAGTTTCAACTTTGCTTGTGACTGGCACCGAGTTGATCACGTTTATAGGGACCGACGTCTCTGGTTTCCTGGAGTTAACATTTTGTTCTGGAAAAAACATCTTCGGTTCAGGCGTACTCCTAGGCGTGTCATTCTTAGCTTTCTTGTCCGTTTTCTCCAGCTTGCTGTGTGCGGAGTTCACTCGCACGTCACGTAGTTTACTTTTCTCTCTAGGTTTTAGATTAGGATCATTTTTACAGTCTTGAGAATTTGTTTGGGCTATACTCATAGACCCGGTCAATGAATTTTGAATAGCAGCACTATTAGCGAAACTTGCTTCTAAATCTGCTCTTTCCAAACCCATACTAATAGCCGCATTAGCGCTTTGGCATCGAGGTAAAAAATTCATATCTGACACATTGGGCACTTTGGGTATCACTGGGTTTATCACTGGAGAGGATATTGGATGCGGTACTTCTAACTTTGTCGTACTTTTACTAATCACTGGGGAAGAGTCCAAAGTGTTGTTTATTGCACGGTTTTGTTCACTAGATTTCACAAGAATTTTATCAGTCTGTACAGCTTGCGACTCTTTGCTGACATTAGCTCTATGATTCAAGTAAGAATGCTGAGCCGTGTTAATTTGCTGGATTGTCATGGAATTACTCACGGGATTTTGAAAATTCTGCATTGTCGTCTGTTCAATAACATTTCTAGTGATAATAATCTCGTCTTTCCTAGTACTCATTATATCGTTCCGAAATGGCATCTCACTTTCTCTACTAACTATTGGATTTGGTAATTTATTCCTATTATCAATTTCAGGAAAACTATCTATTTTGATGGGGTCTGGCTTCTTCATACTTGATATATCCCTATGTGTATTATCTAAATTTTGAATTATATCTACTTTATTCGGTGACGACTTTTTCTCCGTATTTTTAGCATCTTCTGTATTTTGATGTTGAATCACTGTTTCTTTCCGCATCTCGCATTGCTTTTGTTCACTAACTACGTCGGCATTAATACTGTCTGGTGATCTTCTAGGTTTGGGAGACTCATTAATCACTGTTGTATCAGTTTTCTCGGGTGACATGCCCGTGCGTGGAGAATTTGCGGTATCAGACTCTCCAACGACTATAGTCTCAATGCTCACAATTTGACATATTTTTGGTACAATTAGGTCCACTGCAGGTTTGATGGAGATCACGTCTTCTTGTACCCTAGCACTGGGGTCGAGCACAATGTGCGCATTCTCGGTGGAAACTACTGGTATAACTTTAGAGGGACTGTCCTTCTCCTCGACCTCTTTAGGTTTATTCTCATTGTTTTGCTGCACTGGAGCTACTGTATTATTTTTAGGTGATGGTAAAGGACAACTCTGGCTGTTGTTATCGTCAGATTCGGATATAATAATAGTTTCCTTGTCTTCCAGCGCCGGTTTAGCGGGAGACTTCATTTCACCGTTTTTAGGTTCAGACAATTTGTTCTCATCAGTTTCATCATTCTTTGTATTAGTCTCCTCCTCAGGTTTGGCTGGCGATGCGTCCGTTCTACTGTCAGTAGCCGCATCGTCTGGTTTATCACTAGCCTCATTGATAACTTGGTCTTTCTCAGCGATTGATTTTGGTGAATCCATATGTATGCTGTCTAGTTCCATATCACTTGTATGATGGTCAGTGCTGTTTTCTTCTATGTGTCGAGGTGACGCTGGTTTACTAGTGACCACCTTTCTTTCTTCACCTTCCTCCACATCCATCTCGTCATCAGCTTCACCAGATGAGTCTTCAGAACTTGCTTCTGAATTTTTATTTTTCTCTTGTGATTTCTCATCTTGTTTGTCCTTAGGAGAAGTGACGGTGTCCTCGTCGGGCACTGTACTAGAAGGCTCCATAGAGTCGTCAGTTTTATAGTCATTAACTTTCTCTTTAGATTCATCAAGTTTCGGTTTTTTAGCTGCCGGTGATGCGTTGGGCGCTGTGTTTTTGTTAACTTTCTGTCGTTTCTTCTGGCGTCCTTTGCATCCAATTTTTCTTTTAGCCTTGGGCCTGACAGGCACCGCGGCTGGGGTGATGGCATCCAAGTCCATACTCTCTTGACTTTCTTGGCTGTCAGATGCGTAAGGTGCTTCTTTGACGCTTTGTCTTCTATTTCTTGGTGTTACTGGCTCCTCTACAGCCTCACTCTGTGTAACTCTAGACGACCTTCTGGCGACGCTCTTACTTCTCTGTCTTCGAGGTGTTTCTTCTTCTTTAATTTTTTCGTCATCCAAATTAGATTCCGAAATCTTTCTACTTACTTCCCGCTTTCGTTTACGAGTACCTTCTGTAAGAACTGGAGTGGTTTGATACGTTGTTTCACTATACTTTAGAGGTCTTGTCCGTCTTCTACCTGATGACGTCACTTCAACAGGAGGTTCTGGTGTTTCCATGTCTTCTTTGACTACAGGTTCTTCTTTGGGCGCAGGTGCTTCGGATTCTGTGGCGGTGTCTTCACTCTCAGTCTTACATTCTGCTTCGTCGTTCTCAGTATCCTGGTCGCCAGAAGCTTCTTCGGGAGATCTGAACGGGTTCACAGTAGGCGCAAGGAGTGGAGTCCACCTGAGACATTCGGGATCAATCTCCAGTCGAGGTTTGCTCTTCACTTTGTTCATGTGATTGTCAACTTTGGTCCAATCTATGCAAAGACCTAACTTGGTTGTCTCTTCATTGGGAATATGTCTAACAAATCCAAGTAACTGAAACGTTACCGCAATGTCATTCATATGCATTCCCGTCGTTTGAGCGATGTCTTCAAACGTGAACGGTTTATCCTTGTGGTCATACAAATATTCGAGTATTACGGACTTCCAATAAGCGTGATATGAAACTCGACCAAGATCAGATAAAGGCTTCTCCGGCGTGCCAGGTTGTCCTTCTTCTTTTGAAAGTAAATAACCTGTGGAGAAAAAAAATACATTTTAAAACTTGATCATAGTGTAAATAGATAACAAATATAATATTTCTTTGATAGGAAGTGTAATAAAGATTCCACCACTCACTGAAATGGATGAGAAACCTCCCGTAGCCTTGCCTCTGGTATTGTGGCATCGTCATGATACACGAAACATTATATTTCTGTTGACAATGTTTTTCTTTGGAGAAGTAGCCAACCAGGTGACAACCTTTGCTGTCATTTTTGGTGAGTACATAGAATAGGAATGGCTCCACATCGTAGTACAGAGTTTTGTGGTCGAGGAACAGTTTGGCGAGGAGACAAAGATTTTGACAGTAGATTTTATTAGCATTCCCATCTACTTCGAAGACCGATATATCCCCGCAGCGGTATATTTCTGTGGCAGGTGGATGTCGCCAAAGACATTTATCCAGATGGCGAAACAGCACCGCCCGACTCTTCGCATACTTGAGACAAAACTCACACAAGAACAGCTTGGGTAGCCTGCAACGAAAATAAAATTGTTTAAGAAAGTTACGGGTTGCAACTTGAGCAAGCAGCGCAAACAACAATATATCAAAAATATTCGCTGATTACAAAGTGGCTTACCTAGCATATTCCTGCGGGAAGGGGCTGGAGTACCAGGTATCAATCTCCCACTGGCCGAATTCAATCGCCGACGGGCACCGCGGCGGTGCGTGCGGGGCCACCCCGTCCCCTGCGCCGGGCGCGGGTCCTGCCGCGGGGCCCGGCGCGGCCACCAGCGCGGGCCCCGGCGTGGCTCCTGCGACCCCGGCCACAGCCCCGACAGGCCCCTGCGTGCCGCCCGCGGCCGCGCTCAGCGCCGCGTTGAACAGCTCCGCGTCACTCTCCGTCACTCCGGCCGGTAACCGCTTTCCCTCTGTAAATACAATCACACAGTGATCATTTTTGATCAAGTGTTAACGGAAGGGCTTGCAAAAGCACCAATAACAAAAATGAACAACAAAAATTACATTAAACTCATAAAGTCAGAAAACATATATACCTGGTGATTAAAATACAAATTATATAAGGCAATAAAATGGCCCCAAGAGAGATGTTATACCCCAAACCGAAATAAAAAAAGAAAAATAAAACAGGGAATGCGGCATGTACTTATAAGCGACACCGAGTACCCGCACTCAGCCGGCGCGGGCGGCCGTGCAAGTGCTCGGAGCTCCGACCTTCACGCCTGCAGAGGCGCGAGCGAAAGTGCATGTGTGGATACTGCCGAAACCCGAGTAACAAATGTTTTGTCACCGGCGCTCGGCGTCCGAACGGAGAAGCTAAGAGAAGAGCGCGCGGCTCACTCACCCGTCCCGAACAGAGAATTCGGAAGAGAAACAACGTTACGACGCGCGCCGGCCAGCAATCAGAGCGAGCGGGACGGTCAGATCCACCACGACACTTTCACCGCACCTCACGAACCGATCTTACCCGTCTGATCGGTGGCCGGGCGCGCGCCGCCCGCCTCCGCCAGCCCGCGGACCAGTTTGTGCGCGTCCGCGGGCCCCGCGCGCGCCTTCTGCGCCGCCGCCGTGCGCACCAGCGCCGACGCCGACAGGCGGACCAAGCCTAGCTCTACCCGCCCTGTCCTACATCGTGACACCGCCCGCACTATCGAGCCTTGGGCCTCAGGCTCCGGTGATGCCTCGTCTCCTCGGCTACGACTGCGCGCGCGACGCAACGACGCTTGGTACTTTCGGAACGTGCTCCGCGTCTCCTTCAACACGGCGCGGTCCTCCTCGGGCTCTGGCTGCTCCATGCGAGGCTGCCGCGGCCGCGACTGCGACCGAGACGCCGTGCGGACTGAGTAGAATTCCGATAATCCATCGAATAATGTAGTCAGCAGTCTTTCCCCACACCTGCTGCGCCGACGAACAATATGATGTCTCTCTGGCTCGGTCGGCGGTGGTTCGGGTTCCAGTCTTTTTTGTATTGATTCTACTCTTTTTGGCAGCTGTTCGGGCTCAACTCTCCTCAGTTTCGTTTCTGATTCTAACCGACTGAGCTTTGAATCCACATCCAGCCTTTTAAATTTAGGCGTTTCGAGTTCGAGTCTTTTTTGTTTGCGCGGTTCAAAATCAATTCGTCGCTGCTCGTGGGGTTCTATTTCAAGTATTTTCAGTTTTTGAGCTTCAATATCTAATCTCTTATGGTTCGGTGGTTCCACTTCTAACTGCTTCTGTTTCTGCGCTTCAGCAGCGAATCCCCAAACACCACCCGGGCCGGAATCAGCTGCTAAACGTTCGAACACAGTAGAAACATACGCGGGCGCGGGTCGTTCATCACTATCACTGGAAGACGCGGGGGAGCCGACCGAATCCGAGCCTGACGCGGCCGAGTCCGGCTCGGGGGGCGAGGCTAACGAGGCTGGCGACGGAGTGGAGCGGGTGGAGCGAGTGGAGCGGGTGGAGCGCGTGGAGCGGGCGGAGCGGGCGGAGAGGGGCGGGCTGGGCGCGCGCGGCGCGGGCTCGCGGCGCTCCAGGCGCAGCTCGAGGCGCTGCACGCGCGTGACGCGGACGCCGCCCCACCCCTCCCACGAGCCCGACGACGAGCGGCGCCGGCGCCGCTTCACCAGATTGAACGCGGAAAATCTGAAAAATTTCTGCTTCTCTCTCGACATTCTCTGTTCGGTCGGGGGGCGCGGAGGCCGCGGCGGTGCGTTACCATCGGAGGGCTCGTCGTCGGAGTCGGGCTGGCGCGCCGGCGTGCGCGGCTTCCTGCCGCGCGGAGTCCCTGCCGCCGTCGACCTGCGGGGACAGTGGCGGGTGAGTGCACGGCAACATGACAAGGACACAGGGACACTAACAGTTGGGTGTCGTCTCACCGCTTGGAGCCGGCTGGAGTGGCGGGCTGCGGCGGGCGCGCGCAGTGCGAGCAGCGCCAGGGCGGGGCGGCGCAGGCGGGGTGCGCGGCGCGGGCGCAGTGCGCGCAGCGGGCCGCCCAGGCGCCGCGCGCCGCGCACAGCTCGCACCACGCACACGCCCCGCACGACCATCGCACCGACTGCACACACAAACATACTTGTATGCACGAGCAAAAGGCATGGACAAAAAGTACTTATTTTTAGAAGATTAACTAACTGTTATTCTTTTACGTCCAGAGTTAATAAGTTTTACCTTAATAGCAGGAAGTGTAACATGTTCCAGTAAGTTGAGGCATGTTGGATGAGCATAGGACTTGCACTGTTGGCAGCATATCAGAGCCTCGGCTGCCCCCAGCCTATTTCTAGCCTCGGTACCGAGGCATTCAGTACACGATGGCACTGGACCACTTGGATTCGGTTTCTGAAACAATTTTTGTAAATTTCAGACTAGGAAAGTATTATTTATTACACATCTTAGTACTTATAATTTTTCAACAACTACTTAAGTATATTGTTCTTGAGGAATTTTGATATGCTGACCGAAGTCAATGCTATAGATATTAGCCACAAAAGTAGGCATCATAAGAGATTGTATAGAAATACAATAGCAGTAGTAGAATAGTATGTACAGTATTTTTGATATTTTCTAATACTAATGGAAATAATTATCTGTTTACAGACTCTGCATCCTACATATATATGACTGTACTGTTAAACAATTAAGTTTATCATAAATAGCTCATAAATTGTGATTGATTTCCACACCCTGTCTGATAGACCATTGTTATATGCTAATCATTTATGAAGTTATCTATGACATTTCTGTTTTATTACTAATCCTACAGTGTTGTACATATATAAAAAAAAATCTTTATTATATACAGAAAATACTACAAAATGAACAATTCAATACAATTTCTATTCATAGTATTCAAACCTACTTTCGCCATTAAGTGGGGTTGAATGTCTTTGATGTTAACTAATAATAGCTATTGAAAAGGTCAGTAGGGATGTAAAGGCCCTTGCATTATGGTAATGTTTTTAATATAGAAAATAGGTCAACACAAATAGGTATTTATCTTTGCAAAGATGAGACTCATTGTATCTCAACATGTACTTACATTGAACTAAGTATGAGAACAAAGAGGTAGCAAAACAAGTTTCTTATAATTTTTAACAAGTTCTTGTTAGAATTGATGAATGGCTTTATTTATGTTAGCAATATTGTATAATCATGTCTTCTAAAAAACTGAATCTTCTTCTGAAAAGCCCAACTGAATCATCACACACATTTTTATCAAGTTAATCAAAAAATGACTAATAGTGAGTACAGTCAGAAAAGTGAGTAATCTTTATACCAAATGCATCCCAATAAGAAGATCCTCTTAAAAATAAATACAGAACTCGCTCTTTATAAATGAAAACTTAAAAATGTATTACTGAATGGGGTAAAAAGCTACAGCCTCCTTGGAAAAATATTGTAAGTTATAATATCAATAAAATGTTCAACATTATAATAAGGCATTGTAAGGCTGGAACATTTTTTGTCTCAAATGAGGCACATTGGCCTTGAACACTAATAGCCAGGTCGACAACCTTATTATTGTAGTCAACTGTTTGTAAGATATCTTCACAAGTTTTACTTATTTGTACAAATTAGCTTCTTTAATAAAACCAATGTGATCAACACATTTATCACTTAATAACATTTCTAAAAGAATTACATGAAATTAAAATTATCATTTTCCTTTCATGTAGTTTCAATCTGAAATAACTTAATAAATAGATAGCAAAAAATAGAAAGTCTATAACCACACTAATCATTTTATGTGCTTTGCTTTCACTTTTAACTAAAGTATAATAAACGTCTACTACTACAACATTCCACAAATAAAAAAAAGATATAAAAACCATACATCACTCATAACAACAAACTGAATATACAATCAATCAAAAATGAATAGATATTGACTTTAAAATAATTGCAAATGAATGAAATAGCATTTTCTTTGTTTTGTTTACTAACACAGTTATCAAATCCATTATGTAAAAGCTTTCCTGTCATACTATGTATTGCACTGATAAGTAAACAAAACATTGCTTCATTCAACAAAACTCACCTTCTCTGGGGATTCTTGACTACTCTTAGAACGCTGCTTGGAGCTTCTATCTGAGGATGTGGTGAGGGGCCTCTCTGTCGCCTTGTAGGCCCCCGCCTGGTGAGAGAGCAGCCCTCGCGCCACGGCACGCTTCACGGCAGCTCTCAACACTGCACGCACATCCACTTCATTTTCCACAGTCACTTGGTATGCTTGGTTTAAATGTCTTTCAATTGTCTTTAACGTAGAACCGTCACGTTCACCTAACTCGCGCACTGCCTTTGCAACGACCCTAGAAAGGTCCACATCTTGTGTGATCCGTAGAAGCTTGTTCTGGACGCCGCCGGGATCCTTGTACGAGCTCTGGCCTTTGTTGTACACCTTAAGCACGGCTCCCTCTCGCACAGCGCGCTCCAGCCGCTCCGCTACCACATCTTCGTGATAGTTGTGATGCTGTCTAATCGCGTGACAGATACGCTCCACACTCGGCCTCTGCTTCTGTGAGCGAATCTTGTGGATCGCTTCCAGTATCCATCGCTTCCACACTTCTTTTCCTACGTCGTCCGGCTCGCTCATTTTTGTAATAGTTTTTACGTACTGCCGCCTGAGTAACGGTACGGTATTGCACTTATGTCAACACCCATCGCATTTTGGCGCCTCGAGCGAAATTCCATTTTACGAAATGGAACCCCGCCGTTTGCGGCCGGTAAATTCGGCCGCGGTGCGAGACGCCGGTTTACAACATGTCACCGAAGCTCTCACAACCCGATGACACATCGGGCCCCGCGAGCGGGTTTTGGCGGAGCGAGCATCCGACGGCCGCCATCTTGTGGCGATCTAAATTTTACGTAGCGAACAAAACACGCGATGTAAATAATAACGGCCGATTTAACAATTTAACGAACTACACTAACAATATTCGTTGAAATAATTATTTCCACTGTCACAATAACTGTCTCTATTTCACCAGATTTTTTTTTACTAATCTTAAATACGGCAGTTCTTCTTTCCGGTTTTTTTACACAATGCGCCTTCACCAAACAAACAACACTTTATAATAAAGTGTACTGATTCAATTCTTTATTATAATAATGAGACTGGCGTCTCGAAAACACTTTTATATCATAGAAATAATAGAAAATTTTGTTGAAAACATTCACAAAACACCAACAAAAGTCTCTTCAAAATGGCTATCAATTAGATTGCCTTGTTAAAAAATATTTTTGATATCCTGTCGGTCACAAATGTATTGCCATTTTAATTAGAATTACATCATAATTTTGGTACTTTTCATTCTAAATCTTGTCTATGCTAGATCAAGTTTTGATTAATTCTTCGATTGTTCTTTGAACTGTTTTGGAATTTGCTTTGAAAACGAAAAAAGCTTATTTTTACTAAGTTTCGTTTCCAAAAAAGTTATTTTTCCAGGTTTATAAATTGCTTATGTACATTAGTTTTTTTTAATAACATAACGCTGGCTATTGTACCTAATTATTTGGTTAATAAAACCGAATTATTACTGGAATTATCTGAGGGAAACATTATCTCAAGTCCATACCAAATGTGTTCTCCGAGAGATTATATTTTAATAAAATAAAACCAGAATAATCATGGTTGAGTTTTGTGTTAGTTTCACCTCGTACGATATACCTGAAACGCAACCAATGTTGCCAATTGAGTGTTAAAGAAAAAAAGTAAGTAACGATTTTATCACTCGGCAACACTGCCTGAAACGATAAAATTACGCGCGGTCAGCGGGTTTTTGGAAAACTTTAAAAGTTAACATAAAGAAAAGCTTCCAAACCTAATATCAGTGATCTTTACACATACAAGGATTCACAATACAAGTTCTATAATTTCACGAATGGTGTGTAGAAATATATGATTTGTGTACCACGATAAGTTAAGTTACCATTCTTGGAAATTTGATACCAACTTTTGTAATGGATTCAAATAATATTATAAAGCAACGCTTATGGAGTTCTATGAGTACTATAAGGAGGAGTCTAAAGAGATGGTGGAGAAGGGGAAGGAGGCGGCGAATGTATGTTTCTCAAATTACTTTTATTATACTGACGAATGCCAAAATGCTCAAAGCTTATGTATAATTTTATTATCAAATCAAAACTGTGCATGTGTATTCTTGCGCTCATGTTAGCTTTTTGGTTTAGTGATTAAGTAATGATTAAATCATTTCTTAGGTACCTATTACAAACATGATAGTTTCGATATAGGTATACATGTATTGAATCAGATAACCAAAACACCAACAATAAAACAGCAAATGATAGAAAACATTTTTATTAGACAACAATAATACAATATAAGTACATCACAACTGCTATATGTACAACTTACAGGGCACCAAAAATTAAGACCATTCTGAGACCTGGATGTGTCATCTGCAGACAAGGATCATGTGTCGATGAGAGGAAACATGATCGGGTTTCAAGAAGTTTGACTAAGGAAATAAATAGTATGGAATTTATTCTCATAGAGACTTATAGATGTATGCCTCTCCTGGGCAATGAAGAACAGATCGTTCCAGATTGGAACATCCATATTGTCCATTACACTGTTGTGTTCATCAAACACACTGCTAATTATTAGCTGTTTTTATTTTTAAGTTTTACTAAACATTTGATGTTGATATTTTAGTTTTGAACTAAGTATTTAGTTTGTATAAATTTTTTATAAATGTATATTTTTCTATACATGATATGTGTGACGATAAAGACCAAAAATTAATATTATGAGAAATTAACAGTGACATTCTTTAGCTGATTCTACAATTATTAAAATATAGTCGAGTAAAAAGATTCAAGGTTACTTACGTAATGAATGACACAAGCTGTCATATTGGTAGGGGCGGTATCCAATTAAACTTTCAATCATCATTTCTGTATTATCTTATGCACATGTTTACGAAAAATGGTGTTTTAATGAGAAAGTAACTGTAGCAACCCACCCATACTGTCATTGAATTATGTTAACCATACTGACTGCAACAGGTCGTCTGTACAATTTATTTAATTATTTTTCGACTTCATAGTATTAGTCTCAAACACAAGAATATTGCAGACTGTTTAATTGGTATTAAAGCATTTATGTTGTTAAACGTGATGATTGTGTGAATGATAGGAATGTTTTAGTGCAGACATTAATTATTACCATTAGGATAAATGTTTAACTGCCATACTCAGAAACATTTAATGATTACTTAACCCGTTGAAATTCATCCCCTAACTTTGTTCATACAAAAGTAGTCTCTAAGCATTGGATATAAGGTCTATAGTGGAGATCGGTCACAGGTGACCACTTGGGGGTCTATGGGTTAAACTATTCTTTAGTATCGATTTTGTTCCGAAAACAATTGCGTTAAGTACCCATTAAATGACTCCATAATACCCATTAACGATGACTATGAGTAGTCATAAAACCAAAATTTTCTATATGCCATTTTACTACTTGTATCTTGCCTCATGAAAGGACAGTTCCTAATTATTTCTTAATGTATTATGTGTTAGTATGTAAGATCTAATTTACCTTGAAGGTATTTGATTAAAAATGTATGTAGCAACTGTTTGTTATAATTTTTTCATTAAGATGACACACAAAGTAACAATCAGATTGGTTTCGAAATCCTATCTACTGACAACTAGCAACAGTACCTTGCAGGACTCATCAACAATATTTCATTTAGGGAACGAAGAAGGCACACAAATTTAGTAACTTCAAAATATTCTATACACTTTGTTTTGGACATAAGGTGATATCAGATCTATTAATAATACTATTACTTTACTTGTTTGATAATACAGCGACAAGAAGTATTTTATATTCGAAAGTTAATTAGGTAATAAAATTTGTAATTACCTACCTAGTCCATGCGACTTTAAACTGTATTTTAATTAAGAAAAAAGTTAGTTTCATATGATAGTATTTACTTACACTGAGCTAAAACACTGACCCGTTTTCAATACTAATTAGTATCATATAAGATTAGACAATGTTTCACTGGACAAGGAATCTGTATGTTGTGTTCCTATACATTTTACTGATACTATTTTGAAAAAACATTTAGCTATTTATACCTAAGGCCTGCGACCTATTATGTACTTGGCGCACATCTGCAACTACAACCTTAAATGAGGTAGTCTACACGATCTTAATGTTGCAAAAAAAGGGCAACTAAATCTAGCGTAATAATTGTTGAGCGATATCCAAAATAAATTCAAGGTTGCAATCCAAATAGTACACCTTAAATATTCGAGCACATGTCTGAGCGTATTAAATAAAACAATACAGCTCTAAACATTACAATTAAAATACGATATTGTGCGTCACTATTATATACTTACACAATGTACATTATTGCCGTATTCATCTACTGGAAGTATTAAGATTCTGGCTCTCGAGACACATGTCAAGTGTACCTACATGAAAGTAATTTACAATCTACAAAGTTCCTCACTCAACGCCTGTATCTTAATTAACGAGATCCACAATAAACTGTACCTACGTACCACTGTATCACTATACAAATTATAAACAACTGCTACTATTAAAAATGAAAAGCCAGTAAATATAAAATAGTTACATGAACAGCTTAGGTACAGACTATGCATGTGGCTTGAGAACCGTTGATTTAAACTAATGTCTTAAGATTCCAACTTGAATTCGCTAGGGCCTCCGAACGAGCAGCCAGAGTTCTGTATGATATGGGACGCTGCGTACATGGCACACTGCACACACTCCCTCAAAGGCCTACCTTGCACTACCTGGCTTATGAACCCGCCGGTGAACGCATCGCCAGCGCCATTAGTATCTACAATTTGTTCCTGTTTCAGGGGCGTCACGGGGATCTCCTCAATTTTACCTTCGTTCACAAGGATCACAGGGTCAGATCCTCGAGTGATAACTACTACTCGGGCTCTTGACTTGTTCATTTTGGGGTACTTCGCTATTTCTAGAGCAATCTCTGGGATCGAGTTAACTTTTAGACCGAAGAATTTCGCGTACGCCTCTGCTTCCTGGAATAGAAACAAGTGATTCGTTAACTACATATTCATTGGAGGTGGTTGCGAAGAGTCTGAGATCGAGTTAGTGGCTTGCCATTGGAAGATTCACTATATCCAGCAACGGATGGGTACGGGCTGATAACGACGAAGATCACCTAAATATTGAGTGACTTACCAGGTCGTTACCGAACAGGATGTCGACGTAGGGCAGCACATCTTCCAGCTGCTTCTTATAGAACTCCATCACGAAGGGCGCGCTCACATTCAACGCAAACAACTGGTTCTTCTCACTGGCATGTTTCGCTAAACTCATCATGGTGTCCGGTGACACCGCTAGGAAGAAACCCTGGAGATAATATTTTCAAGTTACAACTTTATAATAGTGATGCAGGGATTTCACACTAAAAGTACGTCACTGCTAAGAGTTTCAGATCGAGCAATACTATTAATTACTGCTTAATTTATTAAGGGCTGATTTCTCAATCATCAGTTAATTCTTAACTGTAGAATAGAATTAACATTTTACAGTTTTTAGTACGGAAGAATTGTCAAATATTCCTTCCTCAGTTAAAATTTCTCTGGCGTTGGAAAAATCGGCCCTCAATAAATAATTAGTTATCTTAAAGAAGCGAAGATAATTAGACCTATCTTAAAGGTCAAAGATTCTTAGTTCTCACCGAGGAATAGATCAGCTTGGCCTTCTCAATGAGTGCCTGGCACTCAGGTTTGTGGATGTGTTCTTCGGTGAAGAGTTGGGCGGCTGCGAGATTGGCACAGAGCGATCGGTGGTTGCCTCCGTCAGTCAACAAGACGGCACACGTTCCGGTCGGCTTGTCCGCCGTCACTTGGTATAATACGTTCACACCGTCATTCCTGGAAAGAGAAAGGAAAAGAATATAGTTAGAGATCCCTCTAACTTTACACTTATTTTTCGTCTGGTGACTGGACTCTATAGTACCTACCTGCGTAGGTATCCTTCCTTTCCTTACTAATAACAAATCGGAAAGTGAGTTTGTTTGTCTATTTGTTCCACTTTCATGCCGTAACCTCTAAACCGATTGCTTTGAATTTTTGCAGACGTAAAGTTAGAAGTCTGGATTAAATAATAGGGTACTTTTTATCCCGGAAAATTTTGATATCCTCGATGGAAAACGAAATTATTGGTATAGATGGCGTTGTGTGTATTGGTATATGTCACATAGGCTACTTTTTATCCTTTTGTGACGCGAGCGTAGCCGCGGGTAAAAGCTAGTAGTCAATAAATTGGAAAATTGTTTTGTAGGATAACCAAGTCAACCAACAAAAAAATCAATGTTACATGTTGTCTAAAGAGAATTTCAAAAGTCTTTCCAGTCTTTATGTCATCATGTTATCGTTCTAAAAATCTTTGCTAAAATTAACATGCTGCTAAAAAAACGATGGGTCGATAATATTAGGCAGGTCGCTGGAAAAACATGGAGTAGAGTAGCCAGAGAGAGATCAGAATAGAGTAGGTTGGAGGAGGCCTTTGCCAACTGGCAAACGGATTTACAAAAAGTGAAGCACCAAATATGCGAAAAATTTTATTAACAAAAATGTTTAAGGTAGTCTCCGTAATGTAAGAAAGTATTTTGGTATCCGAATAAAAGGCTTATATATAAAATTAACATGGTAGCTTACAGACACGTTCTAGTGATCTATTAATTTACCTATTTTCCTTATCTTAGGAAAGAATTTAATGCCAAGCAATTATCCTCTTGACTGTAAGTTGTAAAAACCGCGGAGTGAAATCATAAACATTTTCCTGAGTTGAATCTATCTTATTGTACCTACATGTAGGGGACCTGAATGTACTAAGTACGGAATTACTAACGGTAAATGAAACGTTAGTGTCTATAGATGTAGGTACTGAATAATTATTAAAAAGCTAAGTATAATAATTGGGTAAATAATGGGCCTCCAGTAATCCCACTCACACGACGAAACACAACGCAAGCTGTTGTTGCTGTTCTTTCATGTTGGTTTTCTGTGAGGCCGTGATAATAATATCACTCCGGTCGTCCCGGCCCATTCGTGCCGAAGCATAGCTCTCCCATACTTCCACGTAGTGGTCTAGACTGGCCACCATGATCAAAATCGATCGGAAGATTTATTATTACCTAGGTAAGTACCTATAATGCAGCATTCAGAAGTCTGTATGCTGCATTATAGTTTTATTGAATAAAATTTATAGGTAGGTTTTACAGTCACGTGAATATAATTTAAGTATGAACGTATTAAATTTACAAACGCAAGGCGTTACAAATGGCAATTTAAAACGTTTGTACGTACGTAGTAATACGTGGCTTTATAAAAGCGTTAGAATATTGTTGTATTAATACTGATTAAAGTCTAGAACAGCTTTTTGATTATTTTGGCTGGTTTTTATATGGTTACATTTCAAATGTGTTGAAATGCCACAGGTGAATGTTTCCTTGTTAAAGCAACGATTTTTATCGTTAGTGCCTATTTTTTACATGATAAAACTAGATAGTCTAAATAAACCTATGATTACCTACTCAAGATAAACGTCTACATAATATTTCAAGTCTGTAATAGAATACCGAAGCCCTACTAACAGGATTACACCACGAAGTTTCGTCAACAAACCACCCACTTTAGATTCATTCTTAGCCGCCACAAAACTCCATTATAATTGATAATTTGTTTCTGAATGTTCTAGAAACATAAAAATAGCTATTCTATTTAAGTATTTACAATGAACATTTCAATATGTATGAACAGAGTATTGTTCACAAGAGATAAGATGATAACCGTACCACCAGATAACAGAGGTGAACACTTTATCGGTGGGAACTTAAACATCTCGTCTACTCCATTTTCTTACATCACCGTGCTTAATAAACGTGATATTCAATAAACTTGTTTTAATTATATAAAAACTATAAATGAAAAACAATTCTATTGTCAAGTACCTAATTATAATAAAGGTTGAGTAGGTAGGTAACTTATTTTACATTTAGAAAGATACTGAATGTCTATAAAGTTCATTTTTCATTGACTGTCTAAAGTTTATTCATCATTGGAATTAGTTTAGCAGAGCCGTTTACTCTTATGGCTGTCTGTCTAATGACAAAACGCGAAAATTGTGACAAACTCTAGTGGCGTAACTATACCGTTCGGGGCCCAAGGCAAATTCATCTGACGGGCCCCCGTTACCAATAAAAAACAGAGAAGTTCAGATGAAAACTTCTGAACCCCTTTCAGCCGGGGACCCGTGGAATTTTGCCGCGTTACCACGCTGTAGTTACGACATTGGCGAACTCCTTTATGTAGAGGAGGCACATAGTCCGATAGTCCGTCAGTGGACTGCGGCAGGCTGTTGCTGTTGATGATGACGAAATAGAACTATATTGTCATTGTTCGCCTGTCATTCACATTTCAATATAATATACGTTACACTAACAATTCGGACAATATTTAGTTTTTATTCCGCTAAAAATATATTTACAGCATGCAGTGTGCAGCACCGCCCTCCTGCCCGCAGATAAACACTCATGCAGCAGAGATACGACAAAAAACACACGACACACAACAAACCACTCGACATAATACCTATATCGCTTCTTCTCGGAGCATCCTCGGGAGTTATTGACTCGACAGCTCGAAAGTTATCGAGTGTAGCATGGATTTAAGTAAAGCCTGATTGTATTCTATATTATACGATAACTACGTCAAAACACGTGCTTAGGACTAAGCAGCGTCTGTTTATCGAGACCTTAAAACTTAATAATATCTCTAGCAGGATAATGACAACTAATCTATGTAATTAGCAAACTATTTCAAAGATAAATGTGCTTAGCTCTATTGAGACTATTGTAATCATTAACATACTGTCGTCATTTAATTAGACACTGTGAAACTATGTAGGTACGTAATTACGTATCGAGGATCTTTTGTATCTACATTTATTTACATTATTAACTTGCGGTCCGTCTCGACTGTCCGGGTGGTACACACCTATTCTCCGGCTGTGTTAAAATCTTTCATAATTATGTATAAAGGTTTACAATTTGGCACAGTCATTTAAGCGGTATGTGCATTTTGGAAACTAATTTTTGTCGAACCAAAGAACTGAGAGCGAAGGAAACACTGAGACCATAAATGAAAGATTAAATCCGCAAATCTATAAAAAGTTGATGTTTTATAACGAACAATAGCCACAAATGGCCTTGTGCCATTTTAGACAATCATAGCGAGATGATAAGTCTCAATAGGTAACTAGGCCTGAAATTGATATTGTCGTTATTGATTGACAATATCTGATACTACGAAACTATCGTACCATACTCTGAGTAATGTCAGGATGTGATAAATCGTTAAAAGTATGTTGCTAAGGCTAAGGGATTTCTAGAAACTAGACAAATTTTGTTAAATTTTTTGCTGCCTGGGGCTTCGCCCGCGTCGTCGTGGAATAAAAAGTAGCCTGTATTATTTTAGACCATAATCTATCCATGTTCCAAATTTTATCCCGATCCCTTCAGCAGTGACGTGATTGAGTAACAAATGTCTCGAAATTTTTATATTTATAATCCTTACTAATATTATAAATCGGAAAGTGAGTTTGTTTGTTCCGCTTTCACGCCGTAACTACTAAACCGAATGCTTTGAATTTTCGCAGACGTGAAGTTAGAAGTCCGAATTAAATAATAGAGTACTTTTTATCCCGGAAAAATTGATATTCCCGAGGAAAAACCAAAGTATTGGTATAGATTTGGTATAGATGGCGCTGTGTGTATTGGTATATGTTACATAGGCTAATTTTTATCCTTTTGTGACGCGAGCGAAGCCGCGGGTAAAAGGTAGTAAAGGGGTATAAGACTGACTTAAACGGTGTGCTCGTATGACAAAACGCATGAATCTGACGGAAGCTAAAGAAGTATGTATAAGGATCGTTATAAGCATTAGCAACAGCTACGTGAAGCTGAAGTGACGATAATTATCCGCAAGGTGGCTGGCAGTACGCGTAGTGCTGAAGATCGAGCCCGAGGCTTGCTATTGGAGAGGCCTATGTCTAGCAGTGGACCGAGACAAGCTAATGATGATGATGATGATGAATAAGCGTTCAGCTAGGCTATTCTATAAAATGTTAATTTAAATTTTCGAAGTGAGCTCAATCGCATTGTCGCCAGTCATTGATCGAGATCGAGATTATTCTCATGGAAGACTGTGATCGACTTCACTTCAATCTTTCAAATTTAAAGTTACATAATAGCATAGCTGTAGTTTGTGTAAGTTATGCTAGTATATCAAAAGATTTAACAAAAAGTGAAAATAAAAGATGGTGACATCCCTACGTGTGCGTTTGCAATTATTATCATGCAACTCTCGTTTTCATGAAACACGTATAGCCATAGGTTACAGGTCAAAGTGAATAGGCGAACTAAATAAGATAGTCGATTGCAAGTTATTCAATAGAATAACGACTTCTATATTACATAGTATTGTATCGGTCTTTTACGTAAATAAAATAGCATATAATAAAATCAAGGTCATCAAAGTGTAACGTATAACTTCGATAGGTACATTTGTTAAAACATTTTTTATGGACATTATTTGAGTATTGTATCTCTAAACGTAAAAACGTGGATAAACATAGGGGAATCTATTGAAATGTTAATCTTAAGCCAAAAATGCATTTTAAAAAGCCTCATACCTAACATTAGAGACGCGCTTTTAGGTACCTACGCATTGCATTGCATTTATGCATTTAGGTACGTGCCACACAAGTCACTTCCCAATTCATACAATTTGAAAGCATTATGTTTTTAGATAAGATTAACATCTACATGCATAAGTACCTCATATATTATATCCGATAATATCAATAGGATTACTTACTCAGCTTTATCTTTCAATATCCTCGCGAAATCATCATTGCCGACGCATCCAAAGTAGGAACAAACGTTGGGTTTCTTCAAGATCCATTGTGCGACACGAGTTGAGTTCTGGACACTGCCTCCAGCTAAGTAATCTGGAGTGTACCTGACATAGGGAAAAATAAACTTATAGTAGACATACCTACAAAATTAATTAGTATATATTTTTCGGCTTACTCGCGTAATTATTTGACGAGGAACTCGACTAGTTTCAAGTCATGCTACAGACTCATACTCATAAGCAGCAAATAATTACGTGAGTAAGCCGAAAAACTTAATAATTAACTCAGCATAATCTGTAGATAATCTACAGCGTTAGATGTAGAGAATTGGAGATTATGTTTACTTGGCTCATAGAATAACCATTTTATCGCCTCTTGCTAAAGCCATAAGTTAAGAATCAGAAAATTTAGAATCGAAATCCTCCTTATCGGCCATTGATTGTAAATAAAATCAGTTAGTACTTAAGTAAGTACTGTAGTTTCCTTTGATAATAATTATTTTGCTATCCTCAACCTAGATGACACAATGAACAAGCGATTAAGACATTATAATCTGCCGTGTCGTGACCATTAATTAGGCTTTCAATTATCTAATCTCTCTATAGAATTCATACAGTTCAAGAGATAATGAAATCTGAATTTGCGAATCAAGTTTATCTAATTTGTATTTCAAGGTAAAACTAAGAGAAATAATGAAGCGGGAGAGTTTGTTCAATATAAAGAATGACCCACAATGTAGGTCTTTCGTAAATTACCTACATATAAGCTTCAATTTTAAGTAGCCACTATTCTGCAGGTCAACGGTTTAATTTTAATAGCACTTTCGAAACACAAACTTATATTAGGGGCAAAGATCTCCCGATTGCGTACATGGTAGGTACTATTGGTTTGAAGTCGATTTCGAGTTCATTTTTTCACAATTATTCATATCATTGTAACAATAAAGAAAATATTATATACCGATAGTACTACCAAGACAAAATCATTTAGCCACGGCAGAACAATTACCGTAAACTCAGCTGTATAATTAGGTACAAGGGTACAACAGATGCCAGCAGGTTAATTTACTCCGTTTCAAAGTGTGTAAAAGATTTTCAATTTTACTATTTGGTAATAAAATTGAAAATCGTTTTAGGGAATTAGCTAGGAGGTTGATGAGCTGGCATCAACACATTTACCTTTTAACGATAGAATAATGACACTTACTTTTCAGTAATTTCTTTGTACAGAGGCAGATGTTTACTGTCCGCCATGATGGCGTCATTAGCTTTCAGGTCATACTTTTTCAAGAAATCGTCGTCCACCACGACTGATATGTCCAGCAGTGGGTTTCCTATGCCCACGACTATGCATTCTGTCACCTCACTGCAACAAAAATTGCTATTCCTGACGCGAATTTTGCTTCTTCCTGTCGACATGTTGTACTTTTTAATTTTGATCGATTGAAGGATTGTCAATCGCAAGTATTGACGGGTATACATTCTTTTTTGTTTTTGAGATATAAAAATTCGACCATTTATACTTTCGTTTCGTTTTTTTTTCAGTTTTAGGCTCGATGTACACACTGCTCACACTCGCACTCGTTCACAATCACGACACTGCGCCAATGTCGCTTTGACATTGGTCCATCTTGGTTTATTTTCGTCTACAAATGTGTGGACATGAAGAACGAGATGGACGCGAACGTGGCGACCAATGTCAAAGCGACATTGGCGCAGTGTCGTGAACGAGTGCGAGTAAAGAGATGACAATGAGTGCGAGGCGGGCATGTGCGTCCCTAACATTTTTTTTCATGCTGTCATATGAATAATTTTTCAAGATTTTGGTAAATAAAGAAGAGTACTAAAGAGTAAAATATCAAAAAGGACTGCAACTTTTCTGATAACTTCAATGATCAGAGGTTTTTATAATTAGAAAAAATGACATCTGAAGTTTTCACTTTCTTATAGGTAGAGTTCGCGAGTGCGAGCGTGACTGTCGAGCAAGGGGTGAAGTTCGATTCTCGGGTTTTACAAAGTAGGTATTATTAAGATTTTTGTAAAATATTCATTTTAACAAGGGACTTATAGCACAACTGATAGAAATTGGATGTCATTAATTATTTTAAAAAAAACATTGCGCCACACTAGGATTTTCTCCTGCGTCGTGGGTGCGTTAACAAACATACTATTTCGAATACACATCATACCCAGACCCGGAAGGACAATATGTAGATCACACAGAGTCACTCCATGTGGGGATCGAACCCACTACATATTGTGCTGCAGCCGGATGCCCAGCCACCACACCAATGGTGCAGTCATATTATAAGTATTACTTACGTGAATAAAAATTTAAGTGCCACATAAACTTGCTAAGTATAATACTTACATAAAATTTCATACTCATACTCTGTGTAGGTATAAGTTTATCTAAGTTTCAAGGTTTCATATAACAGTGTGAATATTAAATTAACTGCTGATGACATAATATAAGCAGTTTAATATTTCAACAACATCAATTACATATTATTATCTTTCATCAAGTCAAGCATTATTTATTATTTGTACTTCTTACATTGTAAGATTATATTTTCTTTAATAAGACAGAAGATGTGTCTTATTTATGTAAAGCTTATTGGAAAATATCCAAATACTTAATAATAAATTATGTTTAGTACAGGAGACTAAAGACATCAAAATCAAACTAATTAGATTTTAACATAAATGTAGGTCATAAAAATAAACAGACCCATGAGTTCTTAAACTTTATGAAAGCATATAACTTGGAACAAATTATTCGCGAACCAACACGAGTGACTAAAACATCATCGACTTGCATCGATTTATTTTTTACTAACTACCCACCGCTCATAAATACAGCTACTATAAAAGACTATGGGCTATCAGATCATAAGGCAATAAATGTTAAATTAAACTGCGAATATTCGCCAAACAATAATGAAATTTGGCACATCGAGAACAGATTATTCACAAAAAGTAACGTTGAAAGCTTCAAAAAATCATTACAATTGGAAAATTGGGAAATAGTCTTAAGTAACAACAAAAACATACATATAAATTATGAATCATTCATCACAATAATACAAAGTAATCTAAATAAATATATACCGCTGCAAAAAATAAGAATAAAATCAAAACCAAATAAAAGTTGGCTTACAAAAGGGCTTAAAAAATCATGCGTACATAAAAGAGTGTTACGAACGATTCTCAATGAAACCAAAAGTCGTGTTATAAAAGACCATTATAAATTATATAATAAAATATTAAAATCGACTATTAAGAAATCAAAAAAAGTTACTTATATTAAACAAATGCAAAAATCAGACAATAAGGTAAAGACTATGTGGAAAATTATTAATACAAAAACAGGCAAAACAACAATAAATAGACGAGAAAATATAATACTCAAAATAGACAATGATGAAGTAAAACATCCACTAATTGTTGCCAACCACTTTAATGAATTCTTTGCAACGGTAGGACAAAACCAAACACCTCATTCGAATAAAAGCATTGGTAAGCCCGTAATTAACCCTCCTACTTGTTCAATGTATTTGCGCCCAGTAGACCAAAGGGATATAGTTAATATAATAAAATCCATTAAAAATAAACATAGCTGTGGTATCGATGACGTTCCACCATTTTTATTAAAACAATGTGCTATGGAACTATCCGTTCCCCTGATGAAGATGGTTAACCAAAGCTTTCAAGATGGACAGTTTCCAGACTCTCTTAAAGTGGCTTTGGTAAAACCAGTACATAAAAAAGGTGATAAACATATTGCAAGCAACTATAGACCCATAGCACTACTACCCACATTTTCTAAGGTATTTGAAAAAGCAATGTGTAATCAGCTTTGTAAATTCTTGGAAAAGTACAATATTCTTGACGATGCACAGAACGGATTTAGGAAGTGTAGATCAACAACACTAGCAGTTTATAAATACATTCAACAAGCACTACAATACATAAACGACAAACAACATGTTATTGGGCTACTACTTGATATGACAAAAGCATATGACAAGGTACTTTATGACATTTTACTAACTAAACTATATGGTTGCGGCGTACGAGGACCTGCATATTCCTGGTTTAAATCATATTTACACAATAGGAAGCAAATAGTACAAATTGAATATGCCGACCACGAAAAAAACGTCATGAATGCCATTAGATCAAGTGAAAAGCAAATTACTTGCTCAATCCCACAAGGAAGTGTGCTAGGATGCGCGTTGTTCTTAATTTATATAAATGACCTTCCCAAAACATTAGACAAAAATAAAGCATTACCAATATTATTTGCAGACGATATTTCCATATTAATGAAGTGTGAAAATCTAGAATACCCTAATTTGCAAATACAGCAGACACTCAAAACGGTGAATAATTGGCTCCAAATCCATAATTTAGAAATAAATAGTTGCAAAACTAAATTGATGCAATTTAGATCGTACAAAAGACCTCCCTTAAATCTAGACATAGCATTCAATAACATAAAAATAGAAGAAGTTAATACATTTAGCCTACTCGGCATTAATATTGACACTCACATAAATTGGAAGTCACACATAGAACACATAAAAAACAAATTATCTAAATTCACTTACGCTCTTTTTCAAATAAAACAAAGCACTGACACACATACAGCTATGGCTGCTTACTACGCTTATGCATACTCATGGCTACGCTACGGAGCCATGTTATGGGGAAATAGTGTAAACGTACATGAAATATTTGTAATGCAAAAGAAGTGTATAAGAATTCTAGCCCAAATAGATAGTACACAAAGCTGCAAACCATACTTCAAACAATACGAAATCTTAACCGTCCCGTCAATATACATACTTGATATATGTATTTTTGTTTTTAAAAATATCGACAAATTCACACGAGTAGAAGATACACACAGCGTCAACACGCGCCATAAAAAAAGATTATGTGCGCCACCATCAAAAATAAAAATGTTAAGTAATAGTCCATACTATATGGCTATAAAAATATATAATAAATTGCCAGATGGATTAAAGTCTGAAAAATCACTATTAGTATTTCAAAAACGACTAAAGATATACCTAATAAAAGAATGCTTCTACTCAGTGACGGAATATTTAGAGTCCAAAATAAAATAATTTCATTTCATGTGGGAACCGTCGATCTGCCCTATACAAACGAAATGTATGACGGATTCATTATACCTACTGGACATAATATAACATTGTAATACTTTGACATTGTATAATTTTATTATTGACATCCTAAACTCGACAGCAATTATACCTATTGAATTGATTATTACTATGATGTGACATATACCTACCTGACAATTATTATTATTTTTTCTTTTCTTTATGATTTGTAATATCTACCTACAATGTTAATAACAATGAATGTATACCTACATAACTAAAAATGTTGCAATGTCTGTAAGAGGCCGCTAAGTATTAAGCACTGTAAATATTTTTATAACCATCATCTGTACACTTAGTTGCAATAAACGCTTTGACTTTGACTTTGACTTAGATTTTCCAATGTCTTTTCTTGAAACAGAATTGGGTTTTTTATTTATTAAATGTTCAGTTTTTTTTCTATCTACCCCCGTAAAAGACAAAATTTTTATTTCTTAAAATAATGAATAATGCAAGCTTGTATTAGAATGTATCATTTTGAGACTAAACTCTACATAACTCACCTCCATAAACTTTTTTGAAAAGGGTAGGGTACATTATTTTATTATTTATATCTTGAGTAAACATAGAAAATATATTGTGTCTTGCTCAGATCTATGATTGAAGACAAATCATGAATTAATTTTCAAAAGATAATATGAACATAAGTGACTAAAAACATCTGTGGGTCAAATTCTAGAGAACTAATTTAATGTTTGATTCTATTGTCTAATGAATCCCACACAATAATGAAAATCAACACAATGAAAAAACCAGGGTGATAATTCTAAACAAAATTAGAGTAAATAAATCTATTCATTAACTATGTTAGTATCTAATAAAATAATAAATAAAATGTATGTTACTGTTAGAAAGGACAGGAAAAACAATTTAAAATGTTTCTAAGACACCCACAACAGGTAATAAAATTTAAATAATTCTCACGACATAGACGTACATGTTAAGGATATAATTTTCTAAGTAACATACCATGCAATCAATGCTTAAATATTTTTGTAACATAGTGTAGAATAAATTCAGTAACCGAACACTTTCCAAACCATTTTATCGCAGTTTCTGCAAAGTACTATGTTACCGGAGAGCCGTTCCAATAAATTAACCAAATTAAAACAAGCCCTCGTCAGAGGAAGCTATTAATAAGATGAAAAATTCTTACTCTTTAAATAATTCCATTATGTAACTCTCCATTGTGTATAATATTATAGCACTGATTAATTAAAAACAAGGTATTCAACACGATTTTCCAGTGAGTGATGAACAGCTAACTGACTCGCTTTTATAAAGATATTACCGCATGTTTTTGTTGATACCGATTTACGAAACGTGTTCGCAGACTCCCACTCGCACACAAATCCAACCGAATGACAACTGCGAATGCCAATACCTAAACGTCAAAAACTGACATTATCAATTACTAAGAATTATCATATGAGAAAATTATTCGGACATTATTCAGTTTTCGCAAATTCGACTACTTCCTTCCCCTATACTCTTTGCTACTAACAAAAACATTTTCTTTTATTCAATGGATTTCCTATTTCAGTCTTCCAGTCACACTCTGCGAATGAAATCATTAATGGTAGTAAGTAATTCCATTGTAATTCCAATTAGTATGAAATCTACAATTAGTACTCAGCGAAATTTTGTTCTCTGAACCAACTATTAAATATAACTAATAATATCAGAATCCTGAATCCAACAAAACTGCCAAAGGTTCCAAGCAAATTCCAAGCCAAAGCCAAGCATCAAAACCATAGACAAATATTTTTTATTGGCAGGGAACAAGAACAAAAGAAAAAAGGTTGATGTCCAATCGGAATCGAATCGGACTCGGAAGACGCTGACGCTCAATCTTGAATCTTGCTTATTCGTTTCTGCTCGAGTACTTCTTTGCCGTATATTCATTTGAGGAAAAGAGACGAAACACATCAAAATACAGGCAGCTGAAAATCGTAATATCTTCTAAAAACCATAGAGATTGTCTAATTCTGTACGAAGGTAGCTCGCGCGTTAGTCTTTCATAACCTACAACCGGCGGAAGATCACGTTTTTTTGCGATCCCGGCGAGAATTTTCGAGAATCAAGGTTGGAATTTCTTTTTGAATTACTGTAATACTATTCCAATCAACACAAAAATGTTGCGTCTACCACGTGTCGTTCGCCAAACTGTTTCATTCCACAAAAGTCACCAACTCGCAAGATTTTACGCCAAAGATGTAAGGTTCGGCGCTGATGTAAGAGCCCTCATGTTGCAGGGTGTCGATATCCTTGCAGACGCCGTTGCAGTCACAATGGGCCCTAAAGGTAGAAATGTTATTTTAGAACAGTCTTGGGGCTCACCAAAGATTACAAAAGACGGTGTGACAGTTGCCAAAGGCGTCGAACTCAAAGACAAGTTCCAGAACATCGGCGCTAAATTAGTCCAAAATGTAGCAAACAACACAAATGAGGAGGCTGGAGACGGCACAACAACAGCCACAGTTCTCGCCAGAGCTATTGCGAAGGAGGGCTTCGAAAAAATCTCAAAGGGTGCCAACCCTATTGAAATAAGAAGAGGAGTCATGCTAGCAGTAGACGCCGTCAAAGATAAGTTGAAGGTTATGTCAAAGCCCGTCACAACACCTGAGGAGATCGCACAGGTGGCCACCATTTCCGCCAATGGTGACACCGCTATTGGGCAGCTCATTGCTGATGCCATGAAGAAGGTCGGTAGGGATGGCGTCATCACTGTGAAGGATGGCAAGACCCTCGTTGACGAACTTGAAGTTATTGAAGGTATGAAGTTTGACAGAGGTTATATTTCACCATATTTCATCAACTCGTCAAAGGGAGCCAAAGTCGAGTTCCAAGACGCTTTAGTTCTCTTCTCCGAGAAGAAGATAAGCAATGTCCAGACAATCATTCCTGCTCTAGAATTAGCCAACCAGCAGAGAAAGCCCCTGGTCATTGTAGCTGAGGATGTTGATGGTGAGGCTCTGTCCACATTGGTTGTCAACAGGCTAAAGATTGGTCTACAAGTGGCAGCTGTGAAGGCTCCAGGCTTTGGTGACAACCGCAAGGCTACACTTAGTGATATGGCTATTGCCACAGGTGGTGTAGTGTTTGGAGATGATGCCAACCTTATTAAGCTAGAAAATCTCCAACCATCAGACCTTGGCCAAGTGGGTGAGGTTGTTATTACTAAAGATGATACCCTATTCCTTAAAGGTAAGGGTAAAAAATCTGACATTGACAGAAGAGCTGAACAGATCCGTGACCAAATCCAAGAAACCACCTCGGAATATGAAAAAGAAAAATTACAGGAGCGTCTGGCCCGACTTGCATCTGGTGTTGCTGTACTGCATGTTGGTGGCTCCAGTGAAGTTGAAGTGAATGAGAAGAAAGACCGTGTCAATGATGCCTTGAATGCCACCCGGGCTGCAGTTGAAGAAGGCATTGTACCTGGAGGTGGTTCTGCTCTTCTCAGGTGTATCCCAGAACTTGCCTCACTTAAGACAGCTAACAGCGACCAAGCTACAGGTGTTGAGATCGTAAAGAAGGCCCTAAGGATGCCCTGCATGACGATCGCGCGCAATGCTGGCATTGATGGTTCTGTCGTTGTTGCTAAGGTTGAGGATTTGGGACCTGAATTTGGATATGATGCCCTGAACAATGAATATGTCAACATGATTGAGAAGGGTATCATTGACCCCACAAAGGTAGTAAGGACAGCGCTAACTGATGCCAGTGGAGTTGCATCTCTCCTCACCACCGCTGAAGCAGTGATCTGTGAAATTCCTCAAGAGAAGGAACCTAACCCCATGGCAGGCATGGGAGGTATGGGTGGTATGGGTGGCATGGGAGGAATGATGTAATCTGCTGCTAAGGACTTGAAATGCATTTATTGTGTAAAGAACTGTTACAAGTAGTTATTCACTGTTATGGGTATTGCCAAGATATCTGTCTGTAGTCTGATTGATTTTATACAAATTGTGGAGTGAATGTGTATTTCCCAGTTTTATGTTTGAGTCTGATGATTTACAAATATAGAAAGACAATTCTCTGTCTTGTTAGAATTATTTAGTTTAATTTGCTTGGATAGTGCAAGCAGTGTTATTTTTAAATAAATAATTAATGTTTTTAATACATGTATATTATTTCCCCATTAATTAAAATATATTTTTTTCTCTTAAATATTCTGAGCACATCAGTTACTGTCTTTAACTTCTACTAGTACCTACCTAGGTACACATAGAAAATTAATCTTTTCTAAACTCATTTAAAATTTCATTGAAATGTTGAACTTTGTTCCTATGACGAAAAAAGATAAATTATTTCCCGGCATTATAGTAACAAACTACCATTCAAGCTGGGAAATTAATAATATTATTTGTTAACAATATTTTCTTAGAGAACCGGTCTCCTGTTGACCTGCATTTGTGTAACGATACCATGTGCTCAGTATGTAGATACCTACTAAGTAGTAACAAGAACATTCCAGGCCATTCTCGACGCGAGCGCATGTACTCCAACATGTAGTAAGCGGCGCGTATATTACATAACTAGAGGCGATAAAAACGCCGGCATAATTTGCTCATATTTTTATCTCTGATAAGAGCTCTACGATTGCTAAGTTCATTGTTCATCGTCATCATCATGAATGATAAAGTCATCAATTAGTAACGGACGTAACTGATTAATACGAAAAGGCAATGTATTTACTAGGTCAATAGGTAAACGACAAACTATTACAGAGTAAAATAAGTTGATCCGTGACTTTTATATTAGATTACTTGCACGCGCACTTTCTTTCGAAACTACGCTCTCATAGATTAGCTCATAGAAAAATTAATGTAAAAATAGTATCTACCTAGTTACCTACACCTACAAGTAAATATGTAATTATGTACCGAGCAGATATCAGCCAATAACGCGAGAAGTACCTAGCGACAACTTCGACCTTCGTTATTATTCAAACATTTTTCATTCAGTTACAATATCATTTATTACATTTGTCCTTTAAACTTAACATAAAATAATTCTTATTTGAAATATGTATAATATAATAATAATTTACAAAAATATTTGATCTTCATCTGAATCTCCAGCACCATACACGAAATGTCTTCGCGTGACATTTTCACTAACAATTGCACCTGGCTCAGTCTCGACGTTGCTATTCTTACAGGGTGTCACAGGGTACCTCACTGGGCCCAACCACCTTCTGCTAAATCCAAAGTTCCGTGGTAACGCTACATTCTTTGATGAACTGCTCTTTACAGATTTATCTAAGCTGTTCAAAGAGGACTGAATAGATTTTAATGACGTTTTCTTAAGTAGGTCTTCTGAGTTATCATTTAAATAGTCATCTGGCAAATCTACATCTGTAGGAATACTCAAACTTAGAGGTCGTCGTTTCAATCTGTTGTTCTGTGGGAACTGACCACGCCATGTGTTGAACTTTTGAGCATTTCGTTTCTGAGGGGTATTTTCTTGAGATGAATAATTTCCTAAATCAGATTCCTCATAAACTTTATTCTCTGATACACACTTTTGCAGATTACTTCTGTTAGGAGTAGATTGCTTGCTTGATTTGTCTTTCATTCTACTTATAACTTTATCTTTTGTCAACTTTATGAGAGCATAAATCGTTTTCAAAGCTTCTTCATTCAATAATTCATCATCTGTTATTTCTACATCTAAAGCACTAGCAACACTATTACTTATACATTTTTTTCCTATATTACTGCTGGTACTGTCTGTAAAGTGACTTTCCATACTATGCTGATAGTCCAGTGGGTTTGGTTTAGTAGCATTTTGCAATACAATAAGTTCCACTTTATGTGGAGCTGACTGCAGCATAACTAATGCCTTGTCATATTTAACATTCAGTAAGGTCTTACCGTTTACTGATATTATTTGGTCACCAGGAAGTAGTTTCTTGCACATATCTGCTGGACTTCCTGGGGTTATTGATTTGATGTATACATTACCATCTGACCCCTCAGCTACTTGAAGTCCTAGTGTATTCATGTCATCTCTCTCTAGTACAGCTGTCACAAATATTCTTTCACCTTGAACACATTCCATATTGTCAAGTTTCTCAAAAAGTGAAGTATTTAAACAGGACTCATTGTTTGCAGCATTGTAATTGAAAACATCTGGGTATACTTTAGGAGATTCCAAAACATAAGCAGTTGGAGCATTTGATATATTCTGGTTATAATGTCTCTCAGGCAACAACTGCATGCTGTTTATTACACAATGTTGCCTTTGTTCAGTACTCAAATCATCAGAATCACTCTGTGTCATAGCTAGGTCTCCTTCAGATCTTGAACAAAGATTGCTTCTAATAGGAGATGTAAGATATCTGCCATCTTTAATAGCTTTTATACCATGGAATACTCTAGTACCCATTTTAACGCCTTGTCTTCTGGGTATACTACAACTTTCTGAAGAGGACAATCCATCATTTGATGAGTTTTCATGGGCAAGACTGTTTGAAGCTACCTCCTCACTGGGCACTGGTGATAATATTTGTCTAAGAAGTTCTTCAGTATTAGGTTTTTCATTTTCTTTATTCTGTACTTTCTTTTCACCGAATATGTCTACTTTAAACCTTCTTCTAGTAGGTCTTCTCACTCTTATGGGGTTTCTAACTGCTAAATTGTAGCTGTCTTGATAATTACTACAATCAAACTTCTTGGGGGTTCCAGATGCATTCACAGGACAATTGAGTTCGTCGGAGAGATAAGTGAGGAAGTCTTCTTTAGCATAAAGTTTCAGGTACAACCTGTGATGGAGAGAGGCTAACCAAAATGTGAAATAACTTTTGTTATCTAACATTTTCAATTTATATTTCACACCAATTTTTGATAATCCTGAGTAAGAGTTGGGCATGATGTACAAACTTTTCTTGTTATAGTAAAATGTATGTATGTGGTGCCAAGGTAAACTTTGTAATACAATCCTATTTGTTTGGTTGCCTAGATCATCAGCTGAATGATTATTTCTTGAGTAGAGACTTATGCCTCTAGGGCCAATTGATAGCCAAACATCTCGACAAAATCCATCTCTTGTAGCCCAAATTGCAGAGTAAAAATGTGCACCATAATCACGAAAAGTTTGTGCAAGTGTAATATAATTTACAATTGCTTTCTGTCTATCTATCCCACGTCTAGATTCATGAGCCCTCTTCATCCGCAATTTGATTTCTGCCATGTCATTGGTTATCAGTGTTTCAGGCAAGTAATGTTCTAATAAAAAGTAATCTGCTGTCCCATGTTCTCTGAATGAAAACTCTCCAAATTCTACATGTAAAGCATAGCCTGCTAATAAAATTAGATTCTGTATTGTAGAAGTTAACTGACCCTCTAAGGTAGCTCTCCTGAGTTGTAAGTATACTCTGTGCCTCCACTCTCCACCTTGAATGTTGCTGGCAATGTTTTTAGGCAAGAAAAACTTTATTCTTAAGAAGACAGTCAAAGTGCTCTCATCTCCAGATATTCTCCTCTTGCTGCTGGTTTTATGCCAAGCTTCTGGGGCAACTTTTTTTATTTTGTAATCATCAGGAACAAATACAAAGTCCCCTCCAATCAAAACAGCAATGCCAAGCATAAAGTTATGTTCATACTTTTCACTGTGAACCAGTGCTTCAAACAATTGCCCTGCAGTTATAACATTTGGGTCACACAAGACTTCCACTTTTTGCCCATTCAGCAAAACTACAGTTATAACTCTTTTATCAGATACTGATGCCATGGTTAAATCCATGTGTTTTGTTGGTTGTGAAGCTCTAACAATGAATTCAGGACCAATGCATCCTTCTTTGCCTTTGAAACCACATTCTGCTTTATATAATCTTGAAGCAGCTCTCTGTACAGGTTTTCCTCTTCTAAAATTTCCCTGGGGTGGTTTTGCTATATTGTCATTTAAAGCTATAGCAGTCATAGATACTGTATTGGCCTGCATCCTAGGTTCTTCGATTTGGGTGCTACAAGCAATTTCTAGGGTGGAATGTGCATGACTTAGGCCTCCCAGTCTTGGAGTGTCAAATAAGTTAAACACTGGTTTCCTGTGATGTCTAGGCACTCTACAACTTGGGAATGGGTCTCTTTCATCTGGAGACTTGAGGAGACCTACACAGCTTCGTGGACGGCTACTAACTTTTAAATCTGTATTAGTGCTAGCCTCTTGTGTCTTGTGTCGTCTCTTGACGTAATTCATATCTTCATCATTATGGAATTCCATGATTGGGCTGACGCATACAGATGCCGCAGAGCAGGAGCTGCGGCCAGAATCTTCATCGCAGTGCCGGAGCATTGTCCTAAAATAAAAACATTTGTATTTTTAATTCAAAACAATCTGAACATTGCGCTCATCACTTTTACTGCATAGGTAATACGTAAATCGTTAAGAGCAACGACTATATACGATGAGAATCATGTAAATACATAAGTACGTGCTTGCTGAATAGTCATAACTAAACGGACATAAACTACTAACTATTCAAATATTCAAGTTCTAGGACCACGCGTTGAGTTAAGAAAGTTCAAACAACTAAGATTTTAAACGCAACATTGATTTTATATTACGATTTATTGTTATTTTCAATGTGGGCATCGCTATTAATCTTACTAAACATAATAAAGTTGAAATTAAAGTGGTCAACGTAATACATAATGAAACTTGCCAATACTTTTCAAAACATTAACTTACTTGTCTAAGTTTTAGGTGCGGTACCTAGCTAAGTTAGTAGCTACATTCCTTTAACGACTTTCACTTTTGTTTTAAACACAATTCTCACAATAAAATCATAAGCTCTAATAGAAATTAGTTAATCACAACATCCACATTGTAATTCGTTTATCCTCCCTTTAGAAATCATCACCATTGTTGCTACACAAGTGCACACATTCAAACATTTTTGTTTGATTTGAAACTTTTACACCTTCAAAAGAAACATCAACAGTTCAATTTGTTCGTTTAGTTCATTCAATAGATCAATAGAAAATTACACTTGTATTGTCTTGTCTTTGTTTATTCAGCACCTGTTCATTTCATCATGCAATCGACGCCAAGCTAGTTGACTTGAACTGTATTTTGTTCATTGATTGGTCAAAAAGAAGACATTATTTGCAACAAAAGGGTTTGGACTTGAATTTATAATCGTACCTAACAAATTGCACTGCAGACAGTAGCATATAAAACAGCACAGTATTAAAATTATCGGCACTGGCAAGTGGCAAGTGTAATGGCAAATTACACCATCTCAAAAGACTTTATATCGAACTACCAATATTTAAAATTATTTGGGTCGTGTCATTGTTGTCAAAAAATGACATTTGTTTGACAGTTTGGAATCCAATCATGAATGCAGTTGTGGTTTTATTTGATGTTACGTGTTTTTTATTAGAATAATGTTATATTGATTTGATTAATGTGCCTGTTATCTTCTGATTAAAAATGGCTACATTAATTCAGTCTTACGAGCAACAATACTCTATACTTACAGCAGACATTACGGCTAAAATAGGTCGTCTTAAGTCTGGAACCGAAGGTAGATTTTTATTTAATATAGATGTCTTATCGCTTGTGTTTGTGTAAAACAAATAATAGTATCATAAAGAACAAATATCTGTACAGTTTAATGATTTTTTTTTTATAATTTTATTTCCTTTACTTTTTAGACTGACCTGTCTATGAGTTTACCATAACATCACTACAACATAATATTATAATTTAGTTTTAATAAACATATAAAATGCTTTTCAGACAACCGTGACCAGCTCAGTCGTGAAATTCACGCAAATTTTGAAGAAGCAAATGATTTGGTAAGGTTTTCATTTAGTTGTTAAACATTGATTCATTTTATCCTAAATACTTTGGCGTTTATTTAATAAGTTTTTGTATAATATAATACAATTAAATTAAACTGTCAAACACCAAGCGGTGGTTGATAAGTGTTCACTTCGCCTCCTAGGTGCGCCCGTCTTCGAGGACTCTTTTCCAAGTTTTATTGAAGAAAAAATTCAAAATTTTTCTGTCGTTTCAGAAAAACTATATAACATTAGAATGCATTCGGCTTATACTATTATTCGGTTTTGTTGCTTTGGTCCCAAATTTATGTACTTTTTGCGGTCGACCCACCTCTGGTCTGCACCCCTTCTTTAAAGAAAAAATTGACCAAATTATTAGGCGAACCCTGTCCTTAATTTTGAATGTGGCTCTTGATGACCGAGCTTGGACACAAGCCACTCTGCCTGTCCGCATGGGTGGGCTTGGCGTCCGTAAAATTTCCAGTGTAAGCCTGCCGGCTTTCATATCTTCCGCCCATGGTACTAAAGAATTAACCAGGAAAATTCTTTCTCAATCACTGGTTAATTTTGATGTACCATATTTAGTGGAAGCTGTGAATGCTTGGAAAATCGCTTGCCCAAATATTGACTCCCCTGTCAAATCACTCTCCCAGAGACAATGGGACGAGCCGCTCTGCAGAAAAGTGAGCGAAAATCTTTTGAACTCCTCTTGTTCAACTGCAGAGAGAGCTCGCCTTTTGGCTGTGGGTGAGTGGGAGTCGGGGTTATGGGTTCTTGCTTTACCTTCGTCTAACCTAGGTACTTTGTTGGACGACACCACGTTCCGCGCTGCAATTTGTTTAAGGCTTGGAGCTTCATTTTGTTCACCTCATCGTTGTCGTTGTGGTGAAGTTGTCAACAGCCTTGGACACCACGGCTTGTCATGTAGCCGTAGTGCGGGCCGTTTTGCTCGACACGCAAGTATTAATGACATAATTCGTCGAGCTCTTGCCTCCGTTGGCGTGCCAGCTACTTTAGAACCTAATGGCTTGGTACGCGACGATGGCAAGAGACCCGACGGTATGTCATTATTCCCTTGGAAGATGGGTAAGGCTTTAGTATGGGACGCCACTTGCGTTGATACTCTGGCGCCATCCCATCTTCCAAGCTCAGCGTGTCGAGCCGGTGCTGCCGCTGCCGCTGCCGAGAACCTCAAACGGCGAAAGTATTATAGCCTGATTGGCAATTATGCTTTCGAACCGTTTGTGGTTGAAACTTTAGGGCCGTGGGGGCCAAGTGCACATCTTTTTTACAAAGATATTGTAAGGAGGATGGTTGACACTTCAGGTGATCGAAGGGCTGGCTACTACCTTGGGCAAAGGTTAAGCATTGCCATTCAACGTGGCAATGCTGCCAGTCTTTTGGGCACCCTACCTCACGGTAGCGATGAGGAAAATATTTTCTTTGATGCCTTTTAATTTTTTTTATTTTCATTATTATTATTTTTTCATTAGGTATTATTATTTTTTCATTATTATTATTTTTTCATTATTAAAATTTCATTATTATTATTTTTTAAGGTGTAAATATTTTAGTTTTAATTATACTATTAATAATTGAAAAAAAAAACAATAAAAATAAAGAAAACCCTCCAAAGTGAAAACTAATCTTATTGACGAGCTGCTTATTAAAGAAAATGTAATGTTCTGATGAATAAAAAAATAGAATTAACAACCTATGTAGTGATACAAATCTTTACGAAAAAACTGAGATTATAATGTTATGTCTAACTGATAGCTTATCTAACAATACTAAAAATTGTTTTAAATGTACACATTCACAAAAAGTAACTCTTCCTTGCAATGAATCCTACCTAATACAGTTATTATTTAAAACTAGCTGTTGCCTGCGACTTTGTCTGCGTAGAATATAAATTTTAAGACATAACTTTTCTTTTGTTTCCATTTGCCATAATAAAAGTAGCCTATGTTACTCCTTAGTACATTAGCTTACCGCCAATTAAAAACGGTCTAGCCATTAAAGAGATTACCATACAAACCGTAGTATAATTCCGGTCGAGCCGGCTCATTTGTGGTGAAGCATGGCTCTCCCACACTTGATCCCACACTGATACTTATTTGTTGTGATCATGGTCTTAATAATATAACTTTTGTTACAGTTGGAACAGCTAGAGCTGGAATCTCGTGGAGCAGGAGCAGGGTCCCGTGTGGCAGCCTACCGAGCTGAGCTGCAGCGCGTCAGAGATGAATATCGATCTGTACTTAATTCTGGCTCCTGTAAGTATTCTTAAAAGTCTATTTCTGCATTTATTTGTTTGACTTAATGTACTTAATGTAAAAAAAATAAATCAGGAAAAAACTGTTACAGAAAATTTAACCAAAAGACGATTTATTATTCACTGGCTCTTTGTGCGAGTGGCGAGGGCGTGTCAAGTGCGACTGCCGGGCAAGGGGTTTCGGGATTGATTCGTAGTTCAGGCATTTTAAGAAAAATTCTCTGGGTATTTTAAGAAAAATTCTCAGTAGTAGCACGGAGTCTGGAATTGTGCCCGGTATATGGCAATAGGCTTCACCCCCTATTACACGGGGCTCATAACATAAATAGTCAAAAGTGGGTGTTACATTTTACAGTGGCATTAAGTGCCGTAATATGCACCTTTGCCTACCCCTTCGGATATAAAATGCGTGATGTTATGTTATGGGGGTTTGTTATCCCAAAAAATATTATTACTTCAGTAAAAACTGGATGCAGTGCAATAGCATCACAACTTTGATTTTTTTTAGTAAAAAAATGCTTGAAAAATGCCTTGACCATAACCAAAACCTATGTAAATTCGTTTTGATATCTTACACTTGACCTAATTTCACCAGACAACTACGAGAATGATGATGTGTTTGATGACTGGAGTGGAGCGAACGAGCAGCACCAGAAGTTGCTGGACAATACGGAACGACTGGAGCGCACCGGTAAGACCCTGACGGAGGGCTACCGTGTCGTGCTGGAGACCGAGCAGATTGGAGCCGCTGTACTGCAAGATCTCAGTGTACAAAGGGAGACTATACAGAGGTCGAGGGGAAGGGTAAGCATGCACTCTACGTGAAATAATTTTTCATTGTCACTGTCAGAAACAATCTTGTCTTAAGAATTGCGAGTGTAGTAATGCTTTATTTTTTCCTGTTGTAATATTTTACTTACTTTTAAACTCTTTTTAAACTAGGCCTTACATTAAGATTTTTTTATGGGTGCATTTTTCACACACAGACCTATAACAGAGTTGGTCCCAGCGGGAAGCACTATAATAATTCTGTACCATCATCTGTACACTGAGAAATATATACGCTTTGATTTTAAATCGAACCGTCGACACGTTGCGCATCAGCTAGTTGACAGATACTGCGCTAAACGTACAATCTGTTTATAGATGTACACAAACAAGAACCATAATTATAATTTAAACAACGAATTATAAAACTCATTCCAACTCTTCCAGCTCCGTGAGACAGATGAGCAGCTGAACAGATCCTCTCGTCTCATGAACACGATGGTGATGCGAGCTCTTCAAGACCGGTTCATCCTCATCATGGTGTTCCTCGTGTTAGGAGTGCTCCTATGTGTTGGAGTCTACTTCTACGTCACGTAGCTGCCAGGGAGCGCTGCCTGCGCTCTCCATGTTACTGGATACTTGATCACGGATAGATACGGTTTGTTTAGATGTAAACACGGTTTTATGTTATTGGTGTGATCTTTGAGGCGCACTGTGGTGTTTAGTGGAGTCAGCTGAAATGTTACTTTAGTAATGGTACCTAAATTAAATTTTCTGTAATGAATACTGTAAAAATATAAGGCTGGCGTCGCCGTTATGAAACTCTGGAGTGGCGCCAATTTCTTACCATCAGGTGTTCAGTCAGTAAACTTGGTACCTCGGGTAACAAGCAAAAACACTTCAGCCAAGTTAAAATAAATGACAAATCGTTATCTACAAAGAAACATAAACAGTACACAGTGTACCTTAAATATTGCACATCATTGAGCAATTAGAATTACATAAAATATTACAAACTCAAGGTTAGAATCCAGAGAGATATTATGTATTAACCCACAGATAAAATATTTATAATATTAAGTACTTATTTATAAGATCATTGTGGTTGAGTCTCATGTCAAAATATCGTTGAGTTTAATTAGTTTTATTACACAGAGTTATTCATTTTCAAATATAACTTAATTAATTATTATGTTTTTCAAGAGTAAAATTGTTTGACGAGGAACTCGACTGTGCCTCTTGGTTGTCTTGAAACTAGTCGAGTTCCTCGTAAAATAGTTACGTGAGTCAGCCATAATTGTTGAAACTTTAAACTTGATTTATTGCAATAGAAATATCATATTTTACCTCCTATAAAAAACTTCATATTATTATTATTAAGATCTTGCTTAATTGGGGGAGGCCTAAGTTCAGCAGTGGACGTTCTGTGGCTGATATGATGATGAAAGATCTTGCTTTAGGCTTTGAGCTGAAAACAAATGTCTATGAATAAAGATAGAAAAAAAAAGTTTAACCTATTTATATAAACTGCAAAAACATTTATCAAATATTCATTAAATACCTCTGAATCATATCACCATATATGCTAAAGCATCATTCATAATGTTCAAATCTACTTGTAAATAATATTAATGTACTCTTGTTTACCTATATGCTACTCGAAATATAACAGTTATATTGCTTGTTTATCTGCCCTTTATGAAAATAGTACAGTCACCTTTAAACTTGTTGCGCATCGGAAGCGCATTTTGCGCAAATACCGTTATAACGGTACTTGCGCAAACTTTATAAAGTTAAAGCGGACTGTATATGTTTGTAAAACGATGTATATTATATTTATATCTGTGTAGCTTCTCTTGTGTAGGTTAAGTAATGTTAGTACTAAGTAATTGAGGTTGTTTCAGCACTAAATACATTCCCCTACATGTAAAATACTAATGTTTTAAGTTGAATAATCATTGAAAATTATACATGGATGTCTATATTCATTAGTGGGTTTTATTAGTTCAAAGATGGAAAATTTATGGTTTTAAAATTATGGCCATAATTTACGCTACATGCTGTAACATTTTGTATATTTGATAAATTAGAAAAACCAAAATGCGGCGTGCTTATAAAATATAGATTTGTCATTTATGTATTTAAAATTAGTTATGTTTTTTTAATTTTGTGTAAATCATGATGAATCCAAATTATTACATCTGATCCTGATCATTCATATTTCTTTTGCAAAGTTATTGCTGTATAACATTTGTAATTGTTTTGTAACACCCAATAACAAAGGCCACTTTCGCGTGAATTTTATATCAAGTTACCCTGTATAATGGCAATTTTAAAACATAACAAATACACAATTTTTCTGCTAAGATTCTCACATGAATTCTTACTGTTATTGTTTCGTCATGTAAATGAGACTGTTAATAGTAAAATAATGTAGATAGACAATTATTTATTGTGTAAGTGTATCTTAAAGTGAGTTATGAAGTATATTAAATGTTTTAATCAACAATGTTTTTGTTTCTTTTTAATATAGATAATACCACTCATACCCTCCCCACCTCTATTATGACAAGACTTCCACTGGAGTAAGCAGAGATATCTAGAAAGATTCAAATCGTTATTTTCTACCATATTTATTAATGTGTATGTGTGTCGTGGTGGCCTGGAGGTTTAAGACGCCCGCTTCTCATGCATGAGGGTGCGGGTTCGAAACCTACCAACGGCAAGTACCAAGATAACTTTATTGTTTACCACTGGCAAACGGTAAAGGAAAACATTGTAAAGAAACCTGGGCTTATAATTTCTAATTATTAGTTTGAAATCGCCAACCCGCATTGAGCAAGCGTAGTGATTAATGCTCAAACCTTCTCCGTGTGAGCAGAGGCTATGGTCAGCTATGGGCATAGCCTCTGCTGCTCTCATGTACTTATCAATACCTTCATACATTCGTTGGTATAGTTACAAGTGAAGAGGATAGAAATTATCATAAGGGAAAATTAAAAGCAAGTCGTGAACAAAACGCATCATGACTTTATATTTCATACATTTTTACATTCAAATCACAATATCTTAACAATATCGAAATATATTACTGACATATATTATAAATACTCTTATTTTCTGTAATACACGAGTGTGGTGGCTTCTAAACTAGCTTGATGCTGAGGGAAAGCTTTGAACATGCATTGTAACATTGCACTTTGTAGGCACCATAGTCCAGAGACAAACTACTACATACCTACTTCTCTGACACTTCTGGTTCGAATTAAACTGTCAAACACCAAGCGGTCACCGGTGACCGCAACCTATTGTTCTTTAATTGTGTATAAAACCGGTACTCGACTAGTTAAATGATTATTTTTATTTCGGATAGTCCATTTATCGAGGTAGGCTATAGGCTATAAAATATCTCGCTACGGTCAAAAGAAGCCGAGCACTCAGTAAAACCTCATAGCAGTAGCTATATTCTGTATTGCGTCCAGGCATAGATACCTCTGATTAAACTGACTATACTCTGATTCGACTACAGTGAGCATAAAGTAGTAAGTTACCACGACTTTTTAAACGCTACAATTTTTCGATTATTTCAGACTTGACTAATGTCGAAACCGATCTAGTATGTCTACCTAAATATAAATTTACAAAAAACTATAATTGTTATAGTCTACAGATGGTTTCTTTTGAAGCAATAACAATAAAGAAGTGTGCATAACGTTTAAATAAAATGGTTCACATTATAACTATAATTAAAAGTAAAGTCGAAAAATAAATAGGATGCATAACATTGACAAGAATAGACATGATATACATAGAGTTTCTTGTAGAAAATATCATTATTTTAGAAGAAATAAAGACAAATATAGATCAAATACATATTTTATATACAGCCAAAGGAACAAATCATAAATATTGTCATGATACCAATATTATCATCGACAAAATCCTTGAGTTGTACGAAATATGGGCTTATAATCAGTAGTCACTAGTGACATACTATGTAAATATACAAACTAGCTAGTTCTATATAATTTTGTACGACTCAAAAATCGAGTCCTAGAAATCGTAATTAGAAGTATAATTATATCGAGGCAGTAGTGTGTAGTCCTAAATAATGCTTGTTTTTAATTAAAACTACCGCTTTACTCACTTAAATATTGATGAGAAAAGCTCTAAATGTTTCAAGTCATGAGTCGCTGCACATGAGGAAGAGTCCCTCTATGACTCGAAATTAGTAGAGCTTTTCTCAATATTTAAGTAATCAAATCGGTATTTTTAATTAAATTAGTATGTCTCACGATAGTTATTATACAAATAATGTTCCTTTTTAGCTAAGTCAAGTGTCTCCGCAGTCCCGTCACGGTATGAGGGTTGGCTCGCGCTGGTGGTGCGCGGGCGCAGACATCACGAGTGGGTCGCCGCCACGTCGTCCTCCACGGGGTGGCCCAGCGAAAGCAGGCGCATCTTGTAGTCGTTTAGCTTTATGTCCTGGAATATGGACAAAGATATTGTTTAAGATTTTGTTTTAAGAAAACTAGTAGAATAAACAAGTGTGTTTGTATAAGTAGGTGCGGGCGATGGGCGGTTAAAGAAATATGGAAATGCCTCCCAACCCTCCTTCCACTCCTCTAGATGTCCAATACGTCCCGCCATCGCCTTTTGGGCCTGCTTATAGCGTTATACAATTAGTTGTCTAAGCAAAATATTGGCCAAGAGCAAATTTTATTTTAAAATCCAGTTCTGATGGAATAGTTGGTCTATTCCAGAAAATAGAGATTCCAACAGTGTTGTGAGGCACACAAATATTTGAATAGTAAGTTCCATATTAGATATCCTTACTATCCTTACTAATATTATAAATCTGAAAGTGAGTTTATTTGTTTTTTCTACCTTCACGCCGTAACTACTCAACCGATTGCTTTGAATTTTTGCAGACGTAAAGTTAGAAGTCCGGATGAAACAATAGGGTACTTTTTAACCCGGAAAAAATTGATATTTCCGAGGAAAAACAAAAGTATTGGTATAGATGGCGCTGTGTGTATTGGTATGTGTCACATAGGCTACTTTTTATTCTTTTGTGACGCGAGCGAAGCCGCGGGTAAAAGCTAGTACAGTATAAATAAAAAAACAAAACATCCACAAACCTGATCAGCGAGTAATTCCAAGAGATCGTCCTGATCCTTTCTGATTTTCTCTAGTTCCTCAGCCATGGCTTTCTGGCCTTCCTGACTAGCTTTTAGTTCTCCGGAGAGCCTGGTGACTTCAGCAGACAGACCTTGGAGCTTGGCTTCATATTCTTGGACCCTGGAGTCGTCGAGAGTGGGGGGAGCGAGGGGAGGAGGGGCTTGACTTGGTATTGCTGTGGCCGCTGACATTTGTGCTCTTAGGAGGGTGTTCTCGTCCTTCAAGTGGGAGATTGCTGATAGTGAGTCGTTGAGGGAGGCCTGGAATTGTAAAGCTATTGTTATTAGGTTTATTTGTGTAATTAATACTCCATTACTGGCACGCACGTAGAAGTTATTTAAACTTAACATACGTTAGTAAAGTAGTTCATTTTGGTGTAACTTTTGGGAGTCATGTGCACACAATTCAGTTATCCAATTTATTTGTATGGGGCAAACACAAGGTAGAGACAGTGAAAACAGATTTGTAATAACTCGAACATAAGATCCATTTTACACTTTGACAAATGGTTTGTAGTGAAAACTTGAGGTATGTTTAATCTTGTCCATGTTCTATTTGTACCTGCATATCCCAATGGAAGACGGGTGTGACGATACGCATTTTGTTACATTTGATGGGCCGATGTTTGGCTACTATCTCGCCTGGTGGTAAGCGATGATGCGGCCTACGATGGAGCACGTCGTCCCATAAACAACCTATTCACTCGGGCCTTGAAGACACCCAGGTTATACATGCATATGTATGTAGTTGGAAGTTCACCTTGAGGGTCTGGTTCTCCTGCACCAGTGCTTGTTGCTCCAGCCTGAGTTCCTGCAGACATGCGTCCTGTTGTCGTATGAGCGACTTGTACTGCGCGAGGGCGCCGTCCTCGGGCGACGCGCGCTCCGTGGCCGGGGACCCGCCGCTGTTCTCCGGGGGACGCTCCGATAGACTCTGGATCACTACACCTGTGGATCAAAGAACATGTAAATAACATATATATACTATGTCTGAAAGAAAACTATCATAATATATGCAAAATTCTAGTACATGCTTACTCATTACACTCTTCGAGGGTGTTCGATTAATTTCAAGCTACGCCTGGGACTCATAATAGGAGTGATTAAGGTGTATATAATATATTCACATCATATTAATTTTAAGCTATTTTGTATGTTTAATATTTATTGAGTCGACAGTTAATAATATTTTTGATGTGTTTTTCAGTTAGAAACCTTAACAAGTTGACTTTTACAAATCTAAAGGAATGTGTTACCACCCGCGGTAAGTTGTGGTGGGCGTATCAAGTAAAATAACCAGTACCGGTATAATCTAAGAAACTGATTTGGGGGAAAAGTATTGTTAAGACTTTGACTGCCAATAAAAAACTGTTGAGGGTAAATCCTCCGCTAACGCCGGTCACCGGTGACCCCCATGGCGTTTAAGGTGTTAAAGTAATTTTACTTACTTTCCAAGAGCTTGAAGAGTCTGCAGAACTCGTAGTCAATGAGCACGTCGGCGGGCAGCTTGGCGCGCAGCTGCGGGTGCTTGGCGGCCACGTTGTACAGCTCGTGGCGCGACACCTCGCACAGCCGCGACGTCAGCGTCTCCACGCCGATACGACGCGACAGGAGCTGCCGGAGCGACTCCTGGGGACGCCGCGGGTTACATGGATTGTTACTGGAGCTTGGATTTTGATTCTGAATTATAGTGTACTCAGTGGTGTTTGTATAATTGAAAATGTTATCTTAATTGCAGATCGTGAAAATGGTAAGACAAGATAAGACTTATGACAATAAAATTTGTGAATAGAATTTTATGTAATACTGAAGTTAGTATTACTAAATAATGATGCGAAAAATTAATAATTAATTATTTTATAAGCTACATTAAAAAATACTGACTTTGAAGCCCCCCTTCTTGTTTTGAAGTTGGTTAATTAATATACTAAAACCTTCTCCTAAATGTAACAAAGACTTTTGTGAAAACCGCATCAATATCGATTCAGCCAATCGCGCACAAGTCAGTTGAAAACGATGCAATTACACACACCTGAAGCTTTGTCACCTTAAATTTATTTTAGGCAAGTAATTTTGAAGTTTAATCAAGTTAGTTTTTATATTGCTTACCTTGGAATAATTCTCAACAGTATCATCGTTGAAGTGTATGCAGATAGCGAGCAGGAAGGCCGAGAGTCCTTGCAGCAAGTACTCGTTGTCGTCGTGCTCGGCCGAGCAAGTCTGCGCCACCAGCCAGCCCACGGCGCCGCTCCGCAGGAACCCAGCCACGGCGGCCGGGCAGTAACTCAGCCACGTACATAGCAACATTAGGAGACCCACCTGGGGAATATACAAATTGGAATTATTCTTCACATCATATGAGTGATAAGTGTGGGAGAGCCATGCTTCGGCACGAATGGGCCGGCTCGCTCGGAGTGATACCACGGCCTCACAGAAAACCGACGTAAAGCAACGCTTGCGTTGTGTTTCGTCGTGTGAGTGAGGATATCGGAGGCCCAATTACCTTCCCCTTCCCCAATTTCCCCAATCCCTGAATCCCAACGATCCTCAAACTCCTAATCCCCAAAAAGCCGGTGACGCACTTGTAGCGCCTCTAGTGTTCCAGGTGTCCATGGGCGACGCCGATTGCTTACCACCAGGTGATCCGACTGCTCGTTTACGGGCTTATGCCATAAAAAAAACTTACTGTAAGACTCGAATCATGAAACGAACATTATATAAAACATTACGAATTATTCAATTTTAGTTGACTTTACACAACACAAGTTTGGAATTTGCTTCTTCGTTCGCTGTACTTCTGATGGAGTGGTCGTCTTACAGCATTCGCAATATGTGTTCATTTCATGAAAGATTTGATACTTGGAATTTGTTGCAATAAAAAGTAATCAGTACTAGATAACACTATATTCTATCACTGTATGGATTCCCCACGTACCTTAGACTTAAGCTTAGTCGTCTGCTGCAGGAGTAGAGTACATTGGTGCAGCAAGGACACAGGTGAGCTGCCGATGTTAGTAGCCAGTAGTACCCTGAGGAGCTGCTCCTTCTGCGCAGGGTTATCTATCAGTCCGTGCATCAGAGCTACAGCACTAAACCAGTTGGACAGCACATCCGATGAGAACAGGCCTCCACATAGTAGCTGCCCGCTTGTTAACGATGACATGTCTGATGATGAAGGCAGGAGTGTTTGCACTAGGCCGGCCTGACTCATCTCGTTGTGGTATAGGTAGCATTGGAAGCAGTATAGGACTGCACATCTGGAATTATTATTAAGTTATTATTTTTAATTTTCTGTTAACTTCCTTCTAAATAAAGCTGACATGGGTGAAGTCTAATATGTTATAAGTGATTTTGATTAACTGATTTATATTTTACTTAAATTATTCTACAAAATGTAAGATAAAAGACACATTATTAGCTCACCTTAAAGAGAAAGGCTGTTTCTCATTAACCATAGACATAAGTAGCACTACGATAGCAGGTCGCGGAGGGTTGGAGGGCGCCATCACGTTGCCCAGGAACTCCTGGTTGGTCACATCCCCCCTCACTGCCTCCCCCACTGTGTTGATAGTCTCCGTGAGGATATCCGCAGGCACTCCGCTCGACATCAGAATATTACAGAGAGCATCCAAAAGACCTACATTCTTCATAATCTTTTGACAACTAGAGATGATTTGTGCGGAGTTACTAGGGGAGACCAAAGTCCTGACGATGAGCAGCATACAGTGTACATTGGACACCTTCTGCGGAGACCACCCAGCTTCCTCGGCCTCATCAGGAGTGTTGAACATAGGCAACATCTTCTGTATGTAACTACCTTCCTTGAAGAAGTTTATATTACTGCTGTTATTCTTCAATAGATTCAACATCAGTAACAAACAGTCTTCTACAATAATTCCACCGTCAGAGTAACCTTCCGTCGACACTATTTCGAACAATCTGTCGAATGCGTTTTCAAAAGCTACGATTTTCTGTATATTTGCGTTACCTTTGGTTAGTTTTATAAGGAGGAGTAAGGTTTCATTTCTGATGACTTCTCTGGTGTCTCCTAGAAGGTCCATCATTTTGGAGACACCCATAGGCTTAACGAGAATGATTTCTTGTATGTCTTTGGGTCTGTTTGTGAGGAGTGACGTGAGGAGTTGTACCGCAGAGAGTCGGACTCTGAAGTCGTACTCGTCTAGTAGGTCAAGCACTAATTGTATGTTGTGATGGTCCTTGATGAACATCTCTGTGAACTGCTCCCCAATGTTCATGGGGACGCGAGGGTTGTTCTCCTCCTCCTCGAACTGTGTCGGTGACATCACATTGTTGAGGGTGTCTAAGGCATAGTTTATTGTCTCGTTGTCAGCTCGGTCCAGCTCTAGTACCTGGAAACAGATCATGTTTTTGATTACTTATGACAAATAGTGTTTTTAATTTACGTTGAATACCGAAGCAATACAATTGCCTAGTTTATTCAAAGAAGGAAAGGTCTATGTTCTTAGAAATAAGATACCAGAGAATAATGTAGTATATAATTTGATTCTTTGAATTAAATTGGTAATTCAATACGTAGAACATCAGTTTTACCTGTTTGAGGGTATCCATTCCTTGAGCGCCGACTTCGACGCGGTAGGTGCGCGACATCGCCTTGAGTGCACGACACGCATCGCGCCTGTCTTCTAGCAGCGTCGAGTTGTTCACTCGGTCTACTAAGCGCTCCACCTGAAAAGATCGAAGAAAAAAATTAATTTAAAGATGTAGGATGCATTTACAAAACTTCTAAAACTACCTACCACTATTTACTACCAAATCAGTATAATTTAGTCGAAAATATTTGTTATATTATGTGTATGACTATATGTATTATTTATTCAGGTAAATTATAATCTTGTAAATGATTAAACAGGTGTATAACAGTTCATTTTTTTATATTGTACATGGCTTTTTTTAATTAGGCTACTATCTCGTCTGTAAAAATAGTTCCTGTCTGTGACCTTATCACACATGTCGCTTTTCAAGGCCAGAAACAGGTTTCTTGTTTCAACTAATTCGAGGAATAAATATTCACCATTTTCAAATTAGCACAAACTTTTTATAGAACAAACTGGCAATATTTTAATTCATATAGTCACTAGGTTGTAAATTAAATGAAATCTACTTGTCTTGTGTGAGAAAAACATAGCAGATATAAGATATTAATACAAAGTTATCAAAACATTTGTAACCTTATAATCAATAATCAATAAATAATTTTCTCAAGTCTTGTCAGTATCAGCAATCAGTAATATTAGTTTGTCAAGTGCATATTGCCCTTACAAACCATTTTATTTACAAAAACCACCACAACATGCGCTAAGCTCTATAACAAAGTTACGTATCATCAATATTTTAAACCAGATGTGGCCAACCGAATGATCAATTGTGACCATTGCAACCATGATTTGACAAACATAGGATTCTTTAAGGTTGGCAATTTCCAACCACAAACCTGATTATGCCAAACTAGTGGAAGATACTGCGACATAATGCGTACACTATGGTGTGTATTATTGTTGTTATTTTCTTTTCCATAATTCTCAAATTGGATTCTATTTTTAAGCCATTGTTAAGCCTATGAATTGCCAATGCTATGTATGCCATTATTGTTGCATGCATCAGACCTTTACTTTGATACTATTGTGTATTTTTAATGTTATATGTTTGTGATGTGGCCATACTCCTTCGAATAAATAAATACACTAAGATATAGATAGGACCTATAAATGTTGATCCATCATTAATTCGAGACTTCCATTCTAAAGTATTACATAAATTTAAGGAAGCAATCATACATGTGATACTAAAAGGAACTCCTAAGACTACAAAAAAAATATTTTATGGTTATGTATACTAAATACTATGCTATTCAATTTAAGATTTCAAAAAGTATGTAAGTGGTAGATCGCACAGGATTTCATTAGTAAAAAATAGACCTTATGTCTAATCAATTTGGTCCGTGTTTTATACCATGAGTTAACTTAATTGTTTAGGTATGTTAATAACTAATAAGCTATTATGGTAGGTTTGGTACTTTATTTATTGCACATCAGTTGGCAGAGAAGTTTCATTAACAATGTAAATGTGTTATTGAAACTTCTACTTTTACCAGTTAAGTCCATAGAGGCTCCATTTCCGACTGCATGCAATGCAATGGATAATAATTTGTTATTCGTATTAATATGTTGATATATCATATCCAAAATTTGTTCATACAAAATTAGTCTCTAAACATCAGAAATAAAATCTAAAATGGAGTGGTCACTGGTCACCACTTGGGGATTAAGCAGTTAATATTCAAATAAGTTTACTAATAAAAATTAAATAATTGCTATGTAATTAATATTATAATATCTATTCACAGATAGATAAATGAATATTCTAATTTATTTAAATTAGAATTACTACCTTTAAAATAAATTTTCTAGGTAAAAATATTGTTATCAAAGAGAATAACAATTTTTAAAACAGTAAATCTATTATGTCATGCCATGTGAGTACAATATATTGATATTGTAATAAAATTGCCATTGTGATAAGAGAAATTATGTTTTCTTTTAACTGCTATTCATGAATTTTCAACATTTACATCATGGATGTAAAATTAGCTGGAATTTTTAAAGATTTTTTAAACAGTGTATAAAATGAATGAGAGTAAAGGAAATGATGTCAGTAATGGCCCTGAAGCTGAAAATAAAAGGGACAGTTCTAGGGCAGGTTAGTAAAAACACTATTTAGTAATAAACAATGATTAAATTGTCTAATAAGAATACAGTAGTTACATATCATCATTTATTGGACCATCAGTTCTGTCACATTCATGAAATGCTGAACCAATTTACAGACATCTAGACCCGCCTACGCTGAACTATAGATAAGAAATAGCTACTCTATATCGCACACTATAAATAGGTCAGCTTATGTTTTAATTCTAGAAAGTAAATATTGGAATACTCACAATCTCTGCTCCAGAAGGTTGGTGGCCAGGTTCCGGCGCCCCCAGCACGGTCTTCAGACCGCTTTTTAGAAAATCCATTTTGCACAAACTCCTTATTTATAACTAGAACACAATTAAAACTTATTAATACGAAATCATTGCACAAAATACTTAAACTCACAAAAATTAAATCAACCCTACGAGACACGTCAAAGCATTTTTGACATACTCAAATTACTTTTTGTTTCATCATTGTTTTATTTAAGAAAGTCTTGAAAACATATAATTTTTAAAATATTCAAAGAAAAAATTCAATACTTACCTGTTTAGTTCAAGTACTACTGAAAGTAATATTTAATGCCTTTCAAAAAGCTTTTTGGAAAGAAGTTTTAAGATTTATTCTGTAGGTATTGTAACAAAACGTACGAATTATGGTTTGACAGCTGCCAATATTTTCGTTGTTTTTGATGGTGTAAATTCTTTGTGATTTGTTATCTTATCCCGTTGAGGTAAAGGTGTGTTTGCCTTGTCAAAGTGTTTGATGATGTTTTTGACATTTGTGATATCTTACCTGACACTGACATTCATTACAAAATCAGATTGAACTGTATTGTTTATTTATTTCGATGTGCAAGTGGACCTATTTCCTATTTTCCTTGATTTTCTACTAATTGAAAATAAAGGAAATTTTACGAAAGCCTGTTAATTTCGTCTTAGCAAAAATGTCTACAGACCTTGGTGCCAGTTTTAACGAGCAATATATGAATATCAACACCAAAATGAAAAAGTAAGTTTCTACATCACTGCAGTCTGATTATGTATTCATCTAGCACGATTACTGAATGTAATATGTAATTTGCAGACGGTTTATGCGGAAGCCCAATGTATCGGAGGCAACAAATGAGTTCATAGCTCTGGCGATCCAATGCGAGCATTCTGACCAGCCAGCATTCGCAGGGCACGCCTATGTCGGCGCAGCTAAGTGTGAAGCTTCTGTAGGTCACTTCTTAGGTGAAGCGGAACATTTCTTAGCGGCAGCTCGACAATTCATGAAGGCTGAAAAGAAACTCAAGTCTCTGAAATTTTATAGTGCTGACAGAGAAAATTTGGAGGTAAACAAATTTTTTAAATTAGTTATCAATTTTAAAGAAATATTCTATACACCGTAAACTTTGCACCATAAATATCATCTTCTATTCCAGGCAGCTACAGGATGTTATATTCAGGCACTGAATAAATATCCAGACAAGTCTCCAATAAGAACATCTATACTGATGGAGCTGGCCAGCGACCTGGTGGAACTGAACCATAAATTGGAAGCAGCTGCATACTATGAACAGGCTCTTGAAACTGTCACGGAAAGCACTATGAAGACTATTTGTTTGAAAAACCTGCTCAGTTTGAGGATAGACAGTGGTATTAATTTCATCATTTAATTTGAATGCAACATTATCTTGTTGTTAAATGTATAAAATTGAATCAGTAATTTATTTTGGTTACAGGTAAATATGACATTGCTTTAGAGATAGCTAACAAGATAGTTGATGGTCCTAATGCAAATGTACCTGAAGATGTTCTTGCAGAGTAAGTTCATATTTTTAAGCACACTGTACATGGAAGCATTTTAACTATTATCAATTTGTCCCTAAAAGTTAAAAATAGTAATAAAGAAGGATTCACAGACTAGGTTATCTAGCTGGAAACTTGCTTATGTGTTCCTATACCAAGTCCTAAATAAATTTGATAATTTGTATTATGTGTAGTCTGTTTATATATTTTGCCCTTTTTTTCTAGAGTCCAAGTGAGCAGGATACTGCTGACCCTTCTAGTGAAGCCACCAGAAGAAAGCAAGCCACCATCTTTGAAACAACTATTCATAGATTTAATGAATGACAATGAAAGTGATGGTTAGTACTGATTTTATTTATTTGATGTCACATTTAGATACACACATAAATATAATTGAGTAATTTCAAATAGATTTTGTTGCACAACATTTATCAAAATGTAATAGAATTAATATATTATGGATACTAAATACATTAATAAACATTAATGGACTGACACATAAAATTGTATTTCATAAAATATTTGTTTCAGCAATTCCTCTGAATACAGATTTGAAGTTGAAACTCCAGTCAATAATAATCTGCCATGCGACAGGAGATACTCAGCCACTAATCAGTGTATCAGCAGACACCAAGCAGTTCCTGACCCTGCAGCAAGTTGAATTATTGCACAAATTGATATCAGATGAAAGAGGTTAAATAAATATCTGACACCAAAAACATTATGCGAGTCTATAAATACTTCCTTTAACTACATTCTAGTTTATTGTTTACCTTTATAAGAAAAATAAATATTTTATAATGTAAATTGTTAAGTTAGTAAAGTTTGTTGAGGTATTAAAATAAAATATAAACTGTTTCATGTACACTCAATTCTATTATTCAAAATTTCATAAATACATTGTCATATAGAATCCCTAGTATACAACTGTATAAATGTCGTCATTGTGTTACATATTTGTCCTTTGTTTTAGTTTTTCATTCATGGATAAAAAACATTTTATACTCTTTTTGCCTTTATAAACACATTATTTTAAAACATTTAAGAATTTTTGTCTGTATCACTTATGTCATCTGACTTAGGTATAATAACTTTTATTTCTTTAGGAAAGTTTACACTACGATCTACTAATACATCTTTCTCTTTGGAGGTACTTTCTTGTACTTTGACCTCATTTCCAAAATCAGCAGCTGTGTCAATGGCAGTCTTGCTCTGTTTGGAGTGAATCCACATCTCCTCAAACACATCCACTTCATCCTTATCTTCTTCATCAGCACTCTTGTCACTTTTAGCTGCCTTCACCTCATTAGACTTGTTCCAGCAGTACTCAAATGGGTAGCTAATGTTCCTGTTGTCATCAAGTGCAATCTCAAAGCGTGAGGACAGAGAGTTGTAGACAGTGTGAACACCGGCAGCTAAGTTTAAATTAATTTCATTATACCCAGTGATTGACTTGAACAAATCTTCACCAGTCTTCATGTCAGTGACACCTTTCTTGGCAAAGAACTGAAAAGTATAATTAAAATATTTAACTATGTTTGTGACACATTGTATGACATTAAATTATTGCACAACATTTATTCACACTACAACAACAACAATATTATTGTTTACAACATTTTCCTTAATTTATAGTAAGGTTATGTAATACTTACATTGGCAATATTCTGGCAATCCCTCAGCAGGAATTTTAGACCATAAGGGTGATCAGGCTGCACAGACTGGGACACATCTATGAACCAGCACTTGTTGTCCCACCACAGGATGTTGTACTCGGAGAGGTCGGCGTGAATCATGTGTCCCGTGTTGTACAGCTTGTGCATCGCCTCCACTACCTCATTGTACACACTCTGCCAGTCCTCAGGCTCCAAAATCACATCCCTTAGTCTAGGAGCAGGCTTGTTGCCTTTACCAATGAAAGACATCACTAAAATATGTTTTTTTAAGCAAACCATATCAGGACAGTTCAAACCAATTTTCTTCATTCGATTTAAGTTATGCATTTCCTTCTCAGCCCACATGTGAACTATCTTGCGTGGGTTTTGCTTCGAGAACCTGTCCTTGAAGCGATAATCAGCTTCAATATACTTATCACGAGTTTTGAACTCATTCAGGGTAGTTTTAAATATTTTTATTGCACATTCTTTAGGAACAGTTATGTCAGGGTTTTTAGTGTTACCAGTAGCATGTAAAACCACAGATTCCTTGCCAGTTGAGATTATTCCATTGATATCCTCCAGCACCTCATTATTAATCAGCTTGAATAAAAGAAGTCTTGTGGGTTCATCAAGACCCATTTCTGCAGTCGCATGACTCTCTTTACGGTCCAACATCTTATTTTTACGTGTTTGATGTTTTGTTTGTTCCCTCAATTGATTGAATACAGAGTTGGAGAGTTTCATGTCAAACCCAGCACCATCTCCTGTGCACACCTCTGGAGGGAATGCCATAACACGGCAAGCATTCCTCCTGCCATTAATCACACTGTCATGTTTAGTAACCATCTCTCCATCTTTCATAACATACCCTCGTTTTGGTAAACTTGCAAATTCTTTCTCGTTTGTCTCAAACCGATCCCAATCTTTCTTTGTATCCACATCATCTTCATCTGAATCAGAATCATACAATAAATGCTTCGGCACATGATAGAAATTATCATAAGATACTGAGACTTTCGAGTCCCCGTTACGTTTTTTCTCAACCACTTTGAGTTCATTGTCATATTCTCTATCAAATTGGCACTGCAAAACCTTTGCAATAATGGCATCCGAGTCACAATAATCCATTACATTCGAGGCCTCGATATCATGCAGCAATTCCGGTGGTATTTCGTTAGACGTACTCACGTGCTGGTCTGAAAGCTGCTCGACAAACCTTATTTCCTCCTTGACCTGAAGTCCCTTCGCCAATTCTTCGGACATGATGTCCGATAAGTCTTGTACTTCTGCAGGTGCAGCAATTTTCTTCCAAGGGTTCGACATTATGTTTTAAATAATTATAACTATATCACGACACAGACTTTACAGTAATGTTTATAACTTATATCCCTGTTTAAAGCAGGTAAATTAAATATTACACAATATGGTAAAATATTCACGGACGTTCACAAACCTTTCTTGGTTGTTTGACAATTTTGACATTCATTACACCGAGGACCTTGTTTTTATTGTATAGTTGCGTTTTCAGTGTAGCCATCTTCAAAACCACATTTTTGTTAAAAATAATTTAATTTTATCCAAATCCTTATAGAATAAGAACTTTCGTCTAATATCATACCGCCTAAAATAAATTATTTAAAGTTTACAAATACCTCAGATACTATCTAATAAGAATATAATAGAATTGCAGAAGAGGGTACAGTGGCCAGCAATCAACAGACTCCAAAATGTCAAACTTATTTATTGAATTTTCGACTTTATCTTAATGCAATAAAGTCAGAGATGTAACAGAGAAATTTGATCGAAATGGATAAGTTGACCTGCTAGTCACCGAACATTATTTTTTTTACAATCTCACATGTAATTTTTCAAAAAGTGTCCTCTTAAAAACTTTTACCAATATTTGTTTTGCGGTTCTTTTTGTGCTATAATATATTTTCTAGACGCGGTGTTCATATTTAGTGCTTTCAAGTTGCTGGCTGTCTTATAAGCTCAATAATTTTCTAACCGTTAAATATACCTAACCGTTCAATATAACACTTGGTACAAGCTTCTTACACTTTCAGCAAAGTCTTCGCATGGTTAATAAACAGATACCCTAAGTCTACTTTGCAAAAGCGTTTAAGTAGGTACCTATTGGTACCTACACGACGCTGGAGCACTTGGACACACAATAATTCGGACCCTTGTGGAATATTTTTCTTTAACTCGTCGAGTACCGGTTTTATAGACACAATTAAAGAACAATAGGTCGCGGTCATCGGTGACCGCTTGGTGTTTGACAGTTTAATGTTACACACTAGGATTTCCTTCTGTATTGTGAGTGCATTCACAAACATACAAGTTCACATACACATGACACCCAGCAGACCCCAAACAACGATTAGGGCATCTCAAAGACTTAGAGAACCCGCTACAAGTTGCGGAGCAGTCGGTTGCCTCGCAACGTGGAGCGCTTGTGTCCGTCGTAGAAATTGTCGGCCCTTCGGATGGGGGTACTGAGCACGGGTCCCGAGTGCATTTATGGAAAACACGGTACTGTACACGAGCACTGCCTATTTCTGACTACATGTAGTAACATCAATAGAATATTACTGCTTTTTGGGCCACCGAAATAATTTGCCCAAAATGCTCAAGCAAATGACCACACCTGTATAAAGGCTACCAGAATAACAATGCATTTGTGAGTTTACATAGATCTATTACATGCAGGAATCGAACCCGCGGCCCGCGACATGTTGCCCAGAAACAAGTTGTCGATTAATGCTCGCCGTCGCCAAATGTGGATGCAATTTTTTAAGGGGAATAAAATCATCCAATATCTTTTACCACCAAAAGTGAGCCCCGGTGAGACGATATCTCGTCCGCAGCTCCAGGGCTGGCATGTGCATGCAACCTATATACATAATACACTCATGTCTACCTGTAGGGGCATGCTTCCCCTACACTTGTTATACTCTGGAGTGTGCACCGAGTACTGCCTAGTACAATCTTCGAATGCTTTTAACCTTTTGAACGCCAGAGCAAAAACGCATGAACTTGCCCTCAACGCCAGGCCACAAATTCACCGCAAATACCTACGAAAAAAATAGGGATTCCAAAACTTCATCGATAATCAATTTTATTTTCATTTTCGTCTTTAATTTCGAAATATAATGTCCTTATAACATTGAAATTTAATTCAACATTACATTTCTTCCTATTAAAGTAATAGTTATACACTATTTACAGACTTGTATAATACCGTAATAACAGATATGAGACTACAATATATTTAAATATAATAACTGTAGGTACAACACTATTCTTGATCTGCTGTCTTCATATTGTGACCATGGCGTGGACGGCCCGCCATTTTAATAACTACTTCGCTTCCGAAATAAGGATGTGGCAACGTAATATCTCGTTTATCGATGTTCCAGTACAATATTATTTTATAATAAATGAAACACGTTTTTTAAATCAGATTTATAATTCCGAATGTAATAGGTACTTAAAAATATATGATTGAAATAGGTTAAGAAGGTAAATAAAAACTATGAAAAAATTGAAAATTTTAATAAAATGTTATACAGTATGTACTATGTATACATGTTTTTAAATATTAAGTTCTATAAACCTGGCATAAAAAGTAACAAATTAAAACAATTAACGATTATATATAATTATCACAATTACCAATCAGTCTTATACTAATAAATCTTTTGAATAATAGAACAAAATTATACAAAATCTACAATGCAACCTGCATTCTGATCATCTAATTCGCTGGGTGCAAAGTGGGTGGTGGGGACAGTGAAATCGATCTCAGCGCGCACCGTGGCTAAAAAAGGAACTTTTGGCAGACTTTATTCCACGAAGTTATAGGTAAATATGGAGCCCACACTTAGAATAGAAGTTTCGAGTCAAATACTCTCGCTCCTATTCTCTGAGGCAAACTGAACTGCGAAGAAGTTCTTCCGTAGTCATTAAATTCCCACTCATTATAATAGTCACTTAATATAAATCTTGAACTCGATATCACAAGTAAATTAATCATAAATATTATTCATTCACTTCACTAATTTCTGGTCGCCGCGCTTGTGACGTCACGATATTGTCGTCTAGTCGTGACCATGGCGTACAGGGTACTGATAATTCGGGTTGCGTTAGGGATGCGCTTGAGTTGGGATTAGTGAATATCGAAATTCGACCCAACCAAATTTTATTTCTGACTATGTAGCTTATTGAATGATTTTTAAGACTGGTTTTATAAAATTAATGCTGCTTTATCCTAGTACCAAATTATACCTAAAATAATATATTCCAGAGGAAAGTTTCGAATCGATCTTTGATTTGAAATAATGATATTATCCAACATGCGCTACATCACTAGCGGTCACGCAGTTATGACTCTGGCGTGTGAGGACATTCTTTTTTCAGAGTTTATTTCTTTCTTTTTAACGTAAAATTTCTCAATATTTATAATGCAATTTAATTAGTTTTATGGAAATAAATAAATTTTGGACCTTCTATTTTACAGGTATATAAATAAATAGGCATTAAAGTAATGTTTAAATAGTTTATTTCGTGTTTTAATGTACCGCTGTTTTTGTCACATATTTGTGTCGTTGGCGCTCAGGGACAGTTTTCGCTTGTCACGTATTTGTGACCCTGGCGCTCAAAAGGTTAACTTCTGGTTATTATTTATTTAATTTGATTAATTATATGCTAACTACCTAATAACTTTTTGGATAAGTGGGATTTGAAATAAACTTCAATGTACATATTACTAGGTGTTGTTTAGCTACTATATCTTGGATAATTAGAGTGCAAAACTAATTAGATAAAGCAGCTTTCAGAGCTGCAGAAAAATGAGTGTGATGTTAATTATAATTAGTTACTTGGAATGCCTCTGCCTATCCTAATAGAAGAAAGGCGTAACATGTAAATATGCAAGCTTGTTCCATAAGTTTTACCAAAAGAGAGAACCATTTTATAAATAATTTGGTCATGAATAAAGCCAGAATCAGTGACAACTGTTGTAAAAGAGTATAGTTAAATTTTGGATTAAAATAAAACAAGAAATTTGATTTTTCCTTTATATTTTTAGCCTAACATTTACTTCGCTGCTTTCTTGCCACTCTTTACAGTCGCCTGTTGCGCTTTGAGGACCTTGACGATCTTCTGTTCCTCAATGAGGAAAGCTCTGACGATGCGCTGCTTGACGCACTTGTGGCAAAGAACACCTCCGTAAACGCGCTTGACGGTCTTCTTGCGGTAGCAAAGGCGGGAACGCTCAGCGGGCCTTGCAGGCTGAATACCACGTAGTTTGCTCTTGCACTGGCCACATCTCGGGATCTTCTTGGGTTTCTTAACGTACTGGTATACCAGGCGTCCACCAGGAGTCCTGACTCTGGAATTTTAATACACACAGGCTATAGATAAAGTAAATCATAGGAGAACAATGTAGATTTTTGGGAAGTTTTGATAATATTTCAATGTACATACTACCAGAGACACACATACAATATGTTTAGGTTATTAGTTACACTTCTATGCAACTTTTAAGCGGATGCTAATAATAAATAAAGCAAACTTTGATTCTTATATTAAGATGGCAAACAACAACATTAAATGGCTGGCTTTGTCTTCATCAGTATTCTCAAAAATAAAATGATTAAGTGTATTACTCCAAACTATACGTCCATGTCTGCCAAAAGCTAATTCGGATTCTTTAAGACCTAGCTTTTGTGTGAAGAGTGACAAACACGTCTTTATACAGCCATACAAACTCACATTTATAATATTAGTAGGGTTTTATTGAGCTGGAGTGATGAATAAATTGATTTTTGTAACAATTTTATAACTAACATCATAAATAATAATAATAATTTAGCTATCAAAAAGCACTTGTGTGATCGACGAATTTAAAAGAAACATTTCATGGTTTACTATACATGGATGGTGCGGTCAGAGCAGTAGTCGTATGCAAAACTTAGGTTTAGGAAAATATTTGATGAGAACTAACACACACATATTTACACGAGAAGTAACTAAAGGTAAACATTGCTCTTGTACATGGGAATAACCTTTTAGAGGTTCTTATGAATAGCAGTAGAGATAACCTAGAATAAATTATAACTAGATTGTTACACTAGGATACAAGAGAAGTGTACTCGTTCGACAACATTACGGCAAACGTTTTGAGGTTAACTTGTAAATGAATTTTTCCAAAAAGCGAACAGTAGATTTATACGATTATTCAGATTAGTCAATCATGTCGGTAACGATAATAATAATGTAATTCTCGTAAAATGAATTAAAACACTTACATTCTCCTCTGGTTTGATTTGGTATTGTACGACAAACGTCGTCTGAAAGTTAGCCGCTGTACCATTATGGAGCTGAAATATGAAAGATATTATAAGTAACACACTTCCCACTATTCAAATCACTAAACTTATTTCAAATATCATACAATATATAAGAGATTGCGATAGATTTTATTAAATTATTTTAGTAACACACAATTCCCAACCTATTTGACAGCAGATGACAGGAAAAGAAAAACAATCCTGTTTAGGGCAACACTTTCAGTTTCCACAGATTATAGATTTTAAACGTCAAACCAAAATGCACATTAAAAATTATTTCCAAGTGATTTAAAGTAAAAGTATGATTTTGCAAAAAAACAAACTAAAAACATAAGTAGTCGAAGGCTTAATATTTAAAGCTCTAATTTTTTTCATCGACATCTATATCGATTAAAAAATTTATTTGATTGATCGGTTTTACTCTAGTCCATAGTCCTTGTTTGTTCTTCACCTTCCCAAACAGGATAAAATAATTTTCTTCAACTTTAAACTGTTGTGTTTGTTTAAGATGTATTGAGAGACAATTAAAATTATTCTATTTATTAAAACTGTAAAATCTTTAAAAATTGCTTCAAATAACGTAACTAAACGTCTTCAAACTGTTATTTTTTGTTCTGGTAATTATTTTCTGAAAAAGTAAAATGGCTACCGAAGTCTAATGTTTGTGGTGATGTTTTTCTGTTTCTAAAGTTATTGGAAGTGTATTTTGACTGAATTCTTTGGAAAATGGGTAAGTTTTAAGACATTTGCTTATATTATACTTATGGAAGAAACATATTTTATTAATGAAAAAGTCTTTTATCGGCGTTAAAAAATCAGATGTTTATGATGGATGATTCTTTTAGTCATTATTATAATATAATTGTTGTTGTTCTACCTAAGTAATTGATTACTTTCATTACTTTTGTTCCTGTTACGTTTTAAAAGGGGGTTGTAACCATATAATATATAATGTAAAACAAATTGTTAAGTAATTTTTGACAAACAAACACTTGATAAGTCGACAGTCTTATTCGAGATTTTCGTATTTATTTTGTATTCTTGTATTATATTTTTTACTGAATTAAGAAGCTTCGTTATGTAGCTGTGTGATTATAGATATATTGTACTATGTAATGCTATGAAACATGTATTTTTGCGACTATAAGTGGGAATGATATTGTACTATTTCAGTAAGTTTGAAATAGTAAGCAACAGATGACACTAGTGGTGCAAATACTATTTTATTTATTTATTTGTCTACACTGTGATAGTTTCAATTGAAATACTTGATAAAAAGCCTTGTAAGCAATCGTCAAAGAAACTATGTTATTGAGATAGTTAATTGATTGAAATTAATGTTTTGCTAGCAATGAATTTGAAAGTTCATTTAAGATCTTTCAAATATTGTGCAGATAGTAGACAGGATCTGGAATAAGTGTATTTTAAGAATCACTAGAAAATATATAAATCCAACAATCAACTTACTATGGGGTCAATCTTATGGAAATCTAAAATAAAATAGCATTGCTGGAAAATAATGAGATTAATATTTTAGTGAACTCTATTTATATATGAAAACCATAGAAAAGTATTGTTCTTGTCCTATTACATATCTCAGATGAAACCAGCCTGTTATACATTGCAATTAAGCTATAATACCTTATTGTTTAGTACAAAAATACAGTATACCCCATAAGGTGTAAGACAACAATACCTACTAATATTTAAACAAAAATAATCATTTGTATACCAGACAATGCTCCTGGCAATCTAACGGGTCTATAGCAAAGAGCTTAATTACTTACAATTACTAATTACTTATTAAGAATTTGTATTTCAAGATTGTCTTCAGTAGCACAGAATGCACATCTTGATTGGAACACATAGCTTGCTACAAAAAATAGCACAAAATATGTAATTCTGTTGGTAATCAGTTTTTTGAAACAAAACTTTATTACACAAACCTATTATGTGCCACAATATCATGTCTTCTAATCCTCGATAGAGCTGATTGATGATTGGAAATACTTTAGGTATGTATTGGTTTTAGGTACTAATAAGTGATCCTTTTATCATATACCAGATTCAGAGTATGTTATCATTGTAATTATTTCGGAAATCCTAAAAAAAACCTTCAATAATTCTATGTTCGACCCGGGAATCGAACCCGACACGACACTCCTTACTCGGTTTTCGTAAGATGGGGAATCTTGTTAGAAAAGTGTTTGCAGGTGCATCTACCGAATACGAAACGCATCTCTGGAAAAAAATATCTGTATGTGTTCAGCCGTTTTTTCAATAATAGTAGACGTAATCGTAATAGGTACGTAGTATGACTAGCATTTTTTTCACGATGTTGCTCATCATGCGAGGTAATGCCAGTCTCTTGTTTTTAGTTTTAGAATTTGTAACTCTTACAAAAACTACAGAATATGGTATTGTCCGAGAAATAATCGAGCGAAACTGCGAATAATAAACTCTAACTTAACAAAAACTAAACGATTTTCGCTATAATTGAGTTGTACTAGGAAATTTAAAAAATCTAGGTACTATTGAAACACTAAAGAATTGCCAGATTTATAGTTATCCAATCGATTTAATTGATTTAATTAATTGGCTACCAATTTACTTGGAGGCGCCAACGTCCATTAAACCCGCCCGGCCTCTGTTCTGATTGGTTCATGTCTTTATTGATTATTCCATTAAGTTCATGCTTAGATTAATGTATTTCTTTCCAGTATACTTTAATTGTCTTCATAATGTTCCTAAAACAGTATATTTAAGTAAAACTTACTTAATTTTACAGATATAACGGTGATTGTAAAGATTTATTACATAATTTCCATAAGTATCAAAAAGGTTTGTAGCAGTTACATTCCCATTTCGACCATGTTTAATATAAAAATAATCGCACTGGCTCCAAACTTTGTAGATAAGGGCAACATTGAAAGACATTTTAATTACGTACGTTATCGTAAGAAAGCAGGATTTCGACTGCCCTTTTTGTTCGTACTGATAAGAAACACGTATTGTTAATTGCTATTTTAATAAGTTTGTTATTAGAGAACGCGAATTCTCTTGTATTACTAATCCTAAATATAAAATACCTTATCATAATCTTAAATGGAATCGTTTCTCTCACTTCGGTGTGGGTAGGTAATACTAAAAAATCCCATACCTACCTACCATATAAATTAGATACGTACGTAAACCATTTAACTTAATACCCGTGTATAAATCGTTATAACCAATTTGGTTTCCCATTCTGTAAAGTTCACCTTTATAGGCTCATCCCGTCGATGCGCGTACGCATTCGTTATGCGCCATGTTTCATCCGAGGTGTCAGAAATAAGCCTCTATAAAATGCTCAAAGGCGCTTACGTTATACATAATTTCAACCGCGAAGAACTTGGTTCCGAGAACCGACCGACATTGAGATGGGTCATTTTGTAATAACAATAGCCCGAGATTCATATAGGGCTGCCACACTACTTATGACTTATGATCATTATTAACGTTAAATAACTTTATGAATCACAACAATATTTCATGGCATACCTTTGCCTAGTTCAAGTTTGTGGTTTTCCTTAAAATACGCTACTAACAAATTGTCCCGTTTTTGTGGACCTCCGGATCAATGGAAAGTTATTTTGCTCTGTGACTCACGAGTTTATTATAATGGTGTCAAAGTTCAATTTTAGTCGTTAATTTTAAGTTTATGAATAATTATTAACGCTGGCTTTATCGTACACGTATGTGTTCGTTGTACTGTATTAAATGACGCCATATTTTTGGAGACCTACATAACGGAAATGTTAACTATAACTAACGCACAATATTATTTCATCAATTTGATTAATGCAAAAGTAGCGAACTTGCGATATCATAATACAAAACTTATATTTTTATTTAACGGTGTTGGTGTTGGCACCCCTGCGTCGAGATGCAGGTTAATTCTTTTACGTTTTTCTCCCGTCGAGATTTGGTGGCCGACACCTCTTGACAATGGCGCTAGTGGCGCGCCCGTCAACCCGGTGAGATTATTGTTGCTCTAAGCTCATTGAACTTGTACTGCTTTTCTTATATCCTAGATGTAACGGAAGAGATTAACCTCCAAAGATTTAAATAAAATTTCTTTGTGTAGAAAGCAATATTCATAACTCTCAAAATTGATTTACACGTGGTGTCAAACTTCTGACGTGTAAAACATGCGATTATAACTACTACAAGTAATCTACTTATTAATACTAGATAAAACTGAAATCCTCTTCATCCGCAATGAACTGTTTATTTACAGTTTAGAAACAAATCTCGAGTTTTACTCATTGTCATGAGAATACCACCAACTAGTATATGATGAATGCACATAGTGAAGCAAATAATAGATGTAACTTATGTTAGCGTGCCTATATTTTATAAAATCTGCGAAACTAGGCAGTTATCCTCGACTCTTGCTTGCAATTACTGCACTATGCACCTCTTTACGATGCCTCTGCTGATTACTTGCATGTTGCTTAATATAAATTACTATAATTACTAAGTAGAATATTTTCTAAGAAATATTTTGTTATTCAATGATAGTGGCGAGGTCCATTCTAATACACGATTATTGTATAAAGAATAATAAAAATATAGCTCGTCATTCCCGCCCACTGGTGCCATGATGCCTCTATTGTTGCATAGAACATGAAATGACGATTGTACTCATAAATACCAGGCACTAGGCAGGGGTATTCAAACGACTGCTATTATATGTTGACGTAGACTCGATAAATTGTAATGATTTGTTGGAATCATATTGAGAGTTATGCAAAGGAAATCTTTTTCATATTTTATAAGTGCTTCTAGGAATCTGTAATAACATGCACTTACTATTGATGTACGTCCTTACTTGGGGTGCTTATTGTAAGTAGGTACTTCTAAGTTAAGTGCTTACTTTAGTTAAAAAGTGTACTTTTTCGGTTTACCTGTAAAAGAAAAGCCACAATTCATCCACATTTCTAGTCAGCTTTTGACCATGAAGCTACAACCATAAAAAGCC